AATAGGAGATCCTACACCAGGGGTAGGCAACCTCGGCCCTTTTGCGACTCGTAGACGTCAACTCCAAGAAGTTGAACTGCTTAGCTCAGGAATTCTGGCAGTTGCAGTCCACGAGTCATGAGGGGGCCATAGTTCCCCCATGCTGGCTCAGGAATTTGGGAGTTGAAGTCCACGAGTCATAAAAGTACCAAGGTTGCCACCCCTGCCCTACATCATTTAGAATAATAACCAGAGTTGGAAGGGACCTTGCAGGTCATCTAGTCCAACCCCCGCCCAAGTATGAGACCCTACACTAATTAGAGCAGTGGTTCTCAACCTGTGGGTCGGGACCCCATTTGGGGTCAAACGACCATTTCATGGGGGTCGCCAAACAACCCAATCCGCCATTTTCCCCCCCTTTTCCTTAGCTGTGCTACTCCCTTTTCTTCTATTGGCTTTTGAAAGCCAATAGAATAGACTCTTGAATAGAGTCTAATTCTATTGGCTTTCAAAAGCCAATAGGAATTGTCCAAGCTGTCTCTGCCCTGCTGAGCCTGCCAAAAGCCCCATTCTGCAAACGGTACTGCATCGGTTGGGTAGTCCTCAACTTACAACCGGTTGGGGGTCACAGCATTAAAAAGGTTGAGAACCACTGAGTTAGAGTAACAACAGTTGGAAGGGACCTTGCAGGTCATCTAGTCCAACCCCCCCAAGCAGGAGACCTTACCCTATTTCCGACAGATGGCAGTCCAGTCTCTTCTCAAAAGCTTGCAGGGATGAGGCTCCCACATCTGGAGATTTCTGTTCCATTGGTTGATCGTTCTCACGGTCAGGAAATTTCTGCTTTAATTTCTAGGTTGCTTCTCGATCAGCTTCCATCCATATGTTATTTCTTGTCTGGCCTCCTCTGACAGCCCTTTTCCCAAGGAGTTTGGGATATCTGAGACACTAACTAGGATTTAACTTGGATCAAGACCAGCAAAGGCCTCTCTCACTTGCTTTTCTAAAAATACCAGAGAGCGGAAAGATAAAAAGTTTGCAATGCATGAACTGCTGGACGGAGGCTGCTGGTTTTCAGACATGACTTTGTGGGTGTGTCAAGCAAATAGTTGCAAGAAAGCAAGACCGCCCCCCAGGATTAAAGCCTGCAGCTCATTCCAAGCCCCTCGTTTCGTCCCCAGGCTCCCGAGCTTAAGACAGGGAACCCCCCAAATTTTGCAGATTGAGAGGCCCGTTTGCAAAATTTGCTCATGTCAATTTTTAAATCCATCCTTGCAAAACTCAGTTCAGTGCAGTTAGTCCTCTACTTGGAAGCATTCGTTTAGTGACCGTTCAAAGCGACAACAGCACTGGAGGGGGGGGTGGAGAAACGAAAAGTGACAATTGGCCATCACACTTAGCAATCGTCGCAACAGCTCCACAATCCTGGGATCAAAATTCAGGCACTTGAGCAACCATGATGGATTGGCTATGGTTGTGGCATCCCAGGATCTTGTGAAACTTGCAGCCGAGCTTGGACCCGCACAGATGAGGCAAGACAGATCTCCTTAACGGCTGCACGCCTTGTTTAATAACGGCAGCGATTTGCTTCACCACCATGGCAGAAGTCATTAAAACTGGGTGCAACCGATTAAACAACTATCTTGCTTAACAAACTCCGGTTTCTTAAGTTGAGGATTACCTGGAGCGATGGAAGATCCCCCACTGGAGATCCCTGCAAGAGATTCCAGCTGCAGGGAAGGGGGGAGGTGTCAGAAAAGATCCCAACTACCAGGGTGGGCTTCCTCAAGGCCTGGGCTACACAACTCATCAACTCGGGCCTCAACAGCGTGGCCCCTTGGTTGGGAATGGGCGACAGGATGCAGCTCCTGAAGCCGTAGCTGAGAAAGGCCGTCAAAGCATGTGGGAAGGTGAGGCATCCTAAAGATGGGTGAGGTCAAGGTTCAGACGCCCAGAAGTCAAGAAATAGCTTGGATGAATAACAAAAGAGTTGGAAGGGACCTTGGAAGTCATCTAGTCTAACCCCCTGCTCAAGCAGGAGACCCTTGCAGAATAAGTTGGAAGGGACTCTGGAGGTCTTCTAGACCAACCCCGCTGGGACAGGAGACCCTTGCAGAATAACAGTTGGAAGGGGCCCTGGAGGTCTTCTAGTCCAACCCCCTGCTCAAGCAGGAGACCCTTGCAGAATAACAGTTAGATGGGACTTTGGAGATCTTCTAGTCCAACCCCGCTTGGACAGGAGACCCTAGCAGAATAAGAGTTGGAAGGGGCCCTGGAGGTCCTCTAGTCCAACCCCCTGCTCAAGCAGCAGACCCTATGACACCATTCCAGTCCAGTGGCTGTCCAGTCTCTTCTTAAAAGCCTCCAGTGATGGAGCACCCACAACCTCTGGAGGCAAGCTGTTCCACTGGTTAATTGTCCTCCGTCAGGAAATTGGTTAGGGGTCGTTAATTCAGAACAGTCACTAAACAGAACGGTTGTAAGTCAAGGACTACTTTTATGTGTGGGGAAAACACCTTGGGGGGGGGGAATTGGACAAAGATCCTTCCTCGAGAGCAGATCTATGCCTCGGGAGCTCCAAGGGGATAAGGGGAAGACCTTGGGAGATTCACGCAGGAGATGCTGTTGGGAACAGTCAGAGAAGAGGCAGCATAGCCCTCAGCTGCATCCTGGATGGAGAAAGCAGCTCAGAAAACTAGTTTATTAGGTAGTAAATGAAAAAAAAAGGGGGGGGGGGAGAGGAGAATTGCTTTTTTAGATTTGCAAAATTCTATCCACGAAATATTACAATCAAGTAGAATTAACTCACCCGATGGTCTGTGGAGCTTCTCAGCCATTCCAGGTCCTGCTTGTCCCAAAGGTGCTTTTTTTTTTTTTTTCTCCCCCAGGAAGCAACTGAACTGTCCTGTTTTTCCTTTGAAGACGTTTCCCTTCTCGTCCCAGAAGCTTCTTCAGCTCTGACCCGATGGTGGGGAAGGGAAGGATTGATACTCCTTGCAGACCGCTGGGTTGGCATTCCAAGTGGCAAAGGACCAGCTGTCTGCAAGGAGTCTAAATCCTTCCATTCCCCCATCATCCGGTCAGAGCTGAAGAAGCTTCTGGAATGGGAAGCGAAAGGTCTTCAGAGAAAAACCAGGAAGTCCAGTGGCCTCCTGGAAAAAAAGCACCTTTGGGACGACTCATCTGATTGCAAATCTATCTGGTTGACCCTGCCAGGCTGCCATCTTTCGACTCTCTTGCTTCATCCACTCTCCAGCTAAGGACTGGCTCTTCTCCTCTCCCTTCCGTTCCTCTCCTCTTCCCTTTCTCTCCTCTCTTCTCCCTTCCCTCCTCTCCCCTTCCCTTTCTCTTCTCCCTTTCTCTCTTCTCCTCTCCCTTCCCTCCACTCCTCTTCCCTTTCTCTCCTCTCCCCTCATCTCCCTTTCCTCTTCCCTTCTCTCCCTTCACTCCTCCTCTTCCCTTTCTCTTCTCCCTTCGGTTCCTCTTCTCCTCTCCCTCCACTCCTCTTCCCTTTCGCTCCTCTCCCCTCATCTTCCTTTCCTCTTCCCTTCTCTCCCTTCCTTCCTCTCTTCCATTCCTCTTCTCTTCTCCTCTCCCCTTTCTCCTCTCTTCTTCCTCCCTCATCTCTTCTCCTTTTCCTCTTCCCTTTTCTCCCTTCCCTCCTCTTCCCTTTCTCTCTTCTCCCTTCCGTTCCTCTTCTCTTCTCCCTTCCCTTTCTCTCCCCTTCCCTTTCTTCCATCTTCCATCATCTCTTTTCCCGTTTTCCTCTTCCCTTCTTCTCTCCCTTCCCTCTTCCCCCTTCCATTCTTCTCCTCCCTTCCCTCCACTCTTCCCTTTCTCCTCCTCCCCTTCTCCCTTCCCTTCTTCTCTTCCCTCCACTCTTCTCCCTTCTCCTCTCCCCTTCCCCTCTTCTCCTTTTCCCTTCCTCTTCTTTTCCTCTTCCCTTCCCTCTTCTTCTCTCCTCTTCCCTTTCTCTTCTCTCCTCCTTTGCAGTATCCTTGTTCACTCTCCCAAGCTCTTTCTCACACAGGTAGTCCTCAACTTACAACAGCTCATTTAGTGACTGTTCACGCTTACAATGGCACTGGGAAAAAAAGGGACTTAGGACCGCTTTTCACACTCGCGACCCTTGCAGCCTCCCCCAGGTCACGTGATCAAAATTCAGATGCTTGACGACTGGTTCGTACTTATGACGGTTTCAGTGTCCCAGGATTACGCGATCCCCTTTTGCGACCTGACCAGAGTCGGGGGGGGAGGGGGAACCAGATTTGTTTAACGACCTCACGACTCATTAACAACAGCAGTAATTCACTTAATAACAGTCATCAAATGGGGCAAAACTCCTGTGACGACTGTCTTACTCAAGCCAAGGAAATCTGGGGCTTGACTGTGGTCGTAAAGCGAGGACTACCTGTGCCATTCCAAAAAAAAGAAATCCAATCCTTATGCCTGGAAGGGCTCCAGTTTGAAGAAAAAGGATGTTGTCAAACACCTTGCACAAGGCACAGCTGGTACGACGGTCCGTTTAGCGGCCGTTCAGAGTTGCGACGGCGCTGGAAAAAAGGGACCCGTGACCGTTTTCACTGTGACGTCCCCCCCCCAGGGTCACGTGACCAAAACTCAGAGGCTTGGCAATAGACTCGTACTTACGACCGTTGCCGTGGGCCAAGGTCAAGCCACAAGAAAAGTCATAAAAAGGGGGGGGGAGAGAGAAAAACTCAACTTTAACCAATGTCAGAAATCCAGGGCTCCGTCGTTAAGTCGAGGACCGCCCGTCAACTCGGGAGGTTTTTCCAGGCGCTCCTCAAACAAGGATCAACCCCAACCAGCAAAAGGGGAGGGGGGAAAGCCCCCCACCCCCACCCTCCGTGTCCACCCTGAGCCTCTGGAATTAGCAAACCGCAAGGTGTTTGTGGGCTGATGAGCGTGCAAAGAGAGATCGCGTTCATGGGTGTGTGTGTGTGGGGGGGGGGGGGGAAAGACACACAATTCTCCAAGCAAGAAAAGGCACATAAAGGTGCAGTGTTACCAAAGGCTTTTGTTCTGGGGGGGGGGGGAGAAGAGGTGAAGGGACACGGGGGCCCTCACTTGATACAGCCAGCAAATTCTCTAGCCTAGGGGTCTGCAAATGTGGCCGCTTTAAGACTTGTGGACTTCAACTCCCAGAATCCCCCAGCCAGCCATTGGGAGTTGAAGTCCACAAGTTTTAAAGCAGCCGCAGAGACCCCCCCCCTTTGCTCTAGCCTGGGGGGGGGAACTCTCTGCTTTCTCCAACTGTGAGTCAAAGTGGCAAACAAATACATCAGATCTGGGGTGGGTGGGCTGTGAAGAGTGGGAGAGGCAGGTCACTGTTCTGACCTCACCAATGGCTATCAACATCCCCCTGCCTGCATCCCGCCAGCGATTTGTCTCTCGTCCGGCCGCACCCTTAAGCTGGAACGCAAACAAAATAAAAATAAAATTGGCCAGGTTCTTCTATCAACCCAACAAACCGAGATCACAGGGGGGGGGGTTTCCAGCAGAGAACGACCCTCCACTCTCTCCTAATGGCTTGGCCGGGATTCCGATGATCTCCCAGCCAGTTCCTTGGGAGGGGGGAGGCCGGGACTTGTGTGTGCAGGTGTGTGATGCAGAGGAACCAAGTTGGAGAGAGGTCGGAGTGTCGACACGCTTTGGAAGTGAAACGCTTGTGTTGGGTTTGGGGAGTCCACAATCCCCAATCGTTTGGGGTCTTGTTCAGTCCCGAGGACGGAAAAGGTGGCGCGTCCTCGCCACCGCCGCCGGAGGGTTCCAGTTTGCGATGCCGGAGTGACGCTCAGGAGCTGTTGTCCTTCTGCAGGTCGAGGAGGAGCAGGTAGAGTTTTTTCGTGACGGCCACCTGAGATGGAAGCAAACCGAGGTTTAAGTGACTGGAGCCTAGATGGGGAGGGAAGTAAAAGGATTGCAAGATTGGCTGGGAAACTGTCACAGAAGGTTGAAAATGAAGATCGCGGGACTGAGACAGCAGCCCAATAGCACTGAAACAGCCATAGTTTGCTCAAATTTCATTACTTTAGGAGCCCTGAGCCCCTGATCTGGGACACCTTCTTTAAGTCAGCCCACCTGAGGCACCTTGGATCCAAAATTATCGCCTGATGATGCAGTTTCGCCCAGGTAAAGGTCATGACAGCCAAGAATTTTAGCAACATACAGACAGAATGGAAGAATAGAATAGAATAACAGAGTTGGAAGGGACTTTAGAGGTCATCTAGTCCATCCCCCTGCTCAGGCAGAAGACCCTGCCTACACCATTTCAGACAAATGGTTGTCCAATCTCTTCTTAAAAACTTCCAGTGTTGGAGCATTCACAACTTCTGGAGGCAGGTTGTTCCACTGGTTAATTGTTCTAAGTGTCAGGAAATTTCTCCTCAGTTCTAGGTTCCTTCTATCTATCTATCTATCTATCTATCTATCTATCTATCTATCTATCTATCTATCTATCTATCTATCTATCTATCTATCTTCTAACCATCCATCATCTATCTATCTATCTATCTATCTATCTATCTATCTATCTATCTATCTATCTATCTATCCATCCATCTATACCTATGTGTCTGTCTGTCTCTGTCAATATCTATCTATCTATCTATCTATCTATCTATCTATCTATCTATCTATCTATCTATCTATCTATCTTCTAACCATCCATCATCTATCTATCTATCTATCTATCTATCTATCTATCTATCTATCTATCTATCTATCTATCCCTATGTGTCTGTCTGTCTGTCTGTCTATATCTACCTACCTACCTACCTACCTACCTATCTGTACCTATGTGTCTGTCTGTCTGTCTATCTATCTATCTATCTATCTATCTATCTATCTATCTATCTATCTATCTATCTATCTATCTATCTATCTATCTATCTAGATGATAGACAGATGATATAGATAAATAGATGATAAATGATAGATGGATAGATAGATACAGTAGATAGACAGACAGAGAGGGGGGTTGGTGGATATTAGAGTCCCAAATTCTGCCTCTCCTTGATCTATTTTATGCCCCCTAATGGTCCAACATCCAGCCTTTCTTTCTATCTAATGTGGCCTTTTTGAGCAAAATGGGATTTTACGAGATGGTTCGCCCCCCCCCCGTTTCCTCCCCATCCCCCATACCTGGTAGGCCTCTGGATCCTGCAGCCTCTTGTGGACAGGATTGAGCTTATCCAAGGACGTCTGAGCGTGAGCCTTGATCTCCCTGAGGTTGGGGAGGGACTGGCAAATCTTTGGGATGAGAAAAGCAGAACAAAAAGCCCCTCTGTCAGGGCCGAATCGGCCTTTCGCCTGTATTCCACTTTGCTCGCAGCCTGACCGAGAAAAGGGGAGGAGGGGGGATGGAATGCAAGGGGGGGGGATTGCATCTGAGTATTGAGGACCCACTGAGCAGGTGGACTAGCGTGGCTGGCTGGTTTCCCACAACAAAATGCACAGAAGTGGACGTGATGGACTCTGGGTGGCCCACAGGGAGAGGGGGAAATTAACTATGCTAGCTTTTCCCAAAGATGCTTTTTCAAGAGGCCACTGGACCTTCTTGTTTTTCTTTGAAGACGTTTCGCTTCCCATCCAAGAAGCTTCTTCAGCTCTGACTGGGTGGTGGGGAAGGGAAGGATTTATACTCCTTGCAGACTTTCTTTCTTTCTTTCTTTCTTTCTTTCTTTCTTTCTTTCTTTCTTTCTTTCTTTCTTTCTTTCTTTTTCTTTCTCTTTCCTTCCTTTCTTTCCTCTTTCCTTTCTTTCACTCTCTCTTTTTTTCTTTCTGTCTCTCCTATCCTTCTCTTTCTTTACCTCCCATCTTCCTCTTCCTCTTTCCCTTTCACCCTCCTCCCAAAGGTGCTTTTTCAAGAGGCAACTGGACTTTCTTTGTTTTTCTTTGAAGACGTTTCGCTTCTCATCCTAGAAGCTTCTTCAGCTCTGACTGGATGGTGGGGAAGGATTTATATTCCTTGCAGACTTTCTTTCTTTCTCTTTCTTTTCTTTCTTTCTCTCTCTCTCTCTCTTTTCTTTCTGTCTCTCTTATCCTTCTTCTCCTTTGCTTCCCATCTTCCTCTTCCTCTTTCCCTTTCCTCTTTCTCCCAAAAGTGCTTTTTCAAGAGGCAACTGGACTTCCTTTGTTTTTCTCTGAAGATGTTTCTCTTCTCATCCTAGAAGCTTCTTCAGCTCTGACTGGATGGTAGGGAAGGATTTATATTCCTTGAAGACACTTTCTTTCTTTCTTTCTTTCTTTCTTTCTTTCTTTCTTTCTTTCTTTCTTTCTTTCTTTCTTTCTCCTTTCTTTCTTTCTCTCTCTCTCTCTCTTTTCTTTCTGTCTCTCTTATCCTTCTTCTCCTTTGCTTCCCATCTTCCTCTTCCTCTTCCCCTTTCCTCCTTCTCCCAAAGCTGCTTTTTCAAGAGGCAATTGGACTTTCTTTGTAGATGTTTCGCTTCTCATCCTAGAAGCTTCTTCAGCTCTGACTGGATGGTGGAGAAGGGAAGGATTTATACTCCTTGCAGACAGCCGGTCATTTGCATCCTTTCAGAGAGCCGTTGAGGCCGCTTGGAGGTTTGTCAAAATCTACATTTTGGACAGAGAGGACCGCTGGTTTAAAAGAGGGATCAAAGAGGCCATCTAGGTCAAAATTGAACCCCCCTCCCTCAACAGAGGGGGAGGGATAGGACATCATCTATCTCCAGTCTACCACCCAATCCTTTCAGCAGCTCCAAGAAGGCTCTACCCCCATATGCACCACTCAGGTGACCCTGAGGACACAAGTAAACCTCCAAGTGGCCTCAACGACTCTTTAAAAGGAGGCAAATGACCAGCTGTCTGCAAGGCGTATAAATCCTTCCCTTCCCCACCATCCAGTCAGAGCTGAAGAAGCTTCTGGGATGGGAAGCGAAACGTCTTCAGAAGAAAAACAAGGAAGTCCTGAATCTTTGGCTTAAATGTGATCTGGATAACTGACAACCTCCCTAGACATATGCTAGCTTTTGAGCGGGAAACCGAGAGCTGGTTTTGCTTCCTTCTGTGTCCGTGGGGTTCATTCCGTAAAGTTTTCTACTTTGGGTCAAATAATATCCCAGGAATCTCTTTTTCTGGATCCCGCCAACTGGACAGTGGACACCTTTTCTATTTTTGTGGTTGTTAGTTGCGAAGTCGTGTCCGACCCATCGCGACCTCATGGACCACGTTCCTCCAGGCCTTCCTGTCCTCTACCATCTTCTGGAGTCCATTTAAGCTGACGCCTCCTGCTTCAGTGACTCCATCCAGCCACCTCATTCTCTGTCGTCCCCTTCTTCTCTTGCCCTCCATCTTTCCCAGCATCAGGCTCTTCTCCAGGGAGTCCTTCCTTCTCATTAGGGGGCCAAAGGACTTGAGTTTCCACTTCAGGATCTGGCCTTCTCAAGAGCAGTCGGAGTCGATCTCCTCCAGGACTGACCAGTTGGATCGCCTTGCAGTCCAGGGGACTCGCAGGAGTCTTCTCCAGCACCAGAGTTCAAAGGCCTCCATTCTTTTTAATTCCATTTAAATTTAAATTAAATTCCATTTAAGCTCACACTTCCTGCTTCAGGGACTCCATCCAGCCATCTCATTCTCTGTCGTCCCCTTCTTCTCTTGCCCTCCATCTTTCCCAGCATCAGGCTCTTCTCCAGGGAGTCCTTCCTTCTCACTGGATGGCCAAAGGACTTGAGTTTCAACTTCAGCATCTGGCCTTCTCAAGAGCAGCAAACACAGGGAGTCCTGGACTTACAATCGTTCGTTTAGTGACCGTTCAGAGAGACGACGGCGCTGAAAAAAGCGACTTGAGGACCGTTTTTCATCCTTGCGACCGTTGCAGCCCCCTCAGGGCGACGTGATCAGGATTCAGATGCTTGGGACCTGACTCTTTTACAGCATCCTGAGGGGGTCACGGGATCCCTTTTTCAGACCTTCTGACAAGCGAACTCCGTGGGGGAATCCGGATTCGCTTAACGGCCGCACGATTCCCTTAAACCAGTGGTTCTCAACCTGGGGGTCGGGACCCCATTTGGGGTCGAACGACCATTTCACGGGGGTCGCCAAACAACGCAGTCCGCCATTTTTCCCCCCCTTTTCCTTAGCTGTGCTACTCCCTTTTATTCTCTTGGCTTTTGAAAGCCAATAGAATAGACTCTCTTGAATAGAGTCTAATTCTATTGGCTTTCAAAAGCCAATAGGAATTGTCCAGGCTGTCTCTGCCCTGCTGAGCCCACCAAAAGTCCCCTTCTGCAAACGGTGCTGCACCAGTTGAGTAGTCCTTGACTTACGACCGGTTGAATAGTCCTCGACTTATGACCGGTTGGGGGGTCGCGGCATTAAAAAGGTTGAGAACCACTGCCTTAAATGGCTGCAGCGATTCGCTAAGTGACTGACTTAGCAAACTCCGGTCCCAAGGACCAGGAGGAGGACGGCCTGCTCCATTGCGCGTCGTCACCCAAACCTCCCCGTGGAAGAAAAGGAACTTTTAAGATCTTATATTTATCTCCTCTTTGGGAATGAGATTGCATCACACCTGGGGGGGGGGGGAGAGAAACCCTGAGGTAATTCTGCTGCAGGACAGCCCGGATTCCCAAGAAAAGCAGAAGGAATTTGCCACCATACCTGCCCGTCTTTAAAGTAGACGAGGTGAAGGATCTCCACGGAAGCAGGAACCACCTTCCCAGCCTTCTCGCTGGCGGTCAGTGGCCAAAACTCAAACTCCTGGCCAACCTCGGGGGCCGCCTCTTCTTCCAGGGCCATGAGGTCCATGCATGGGAAGCCTGCAGAGAAGCAGAAGATGTAAGGTGGTACAGGTTAGTTAGTCCTCGACTTACGACGGTTGCCGTTGTAACTTCGGTCCCTAAGTGAAGGGCCGCCCTACAGCACAGCCTTCTTAGAATCAAGGTAGATTACTCGGTTAAGAGATCCCAGCTTGCATGCAATCACGTGGCCATGCTCGGATGCAGAAAGAGGCTTCAGTTGCTTTTTGATTCCCTGCCCCATTAATATTAACATTAATATTAACATGGGGAGGGTCCTTACCAGAGGCAGAAAATGCCCCATGAGGAACAGCTGCAACTATGGCTGATGACCTAGTCCAGGGGTAGGCCACCTTGGCTCTTTTATGACTCGTGGACTTCAATTCCTGAGCCAGCCATGCTGAGAGGAAAGGGGGAGGTTTCCAAGCTGAGCCATGCTGGCTCAGGAATTCTGGGAGTTGAAGTCCACCAGTCATAAAAGAGCCAAGTTTGAAGACTCCTGTCTTAAATCTAACAAACAAAATGGAGGCTGGCTGAGGAATTCTGGGAGTTGAAGTCCATGAGTCATAAAGGGGACATGGTTCCCCCATGCTGGCTCAGGAATTCTGGGAGTTGAAGTCCACGAGTCATAAAAGAGCCAAGGTTGCCTACTCCTGACTTAATCTACACCTTCTCTATCCTACCCAAAAGCATCATGGGAAGCTTGTGTTGACCATGGCTGGGGCTGGGGGTCAATATGTGTGGGCTTTTTTTCCCCTTAACTCATACATTTATCATTTTAGCTTACCATTTCTAAATCATTTACTAGAACGGGAGTAGTGTGGCAGGAACATATCTCTGCAAGAATGGATGGAAGAATTCAGATTCTAAATGGGGGGGGGGTGTCCAACCTTAGCTACTCTAAGACCTGTGGACTTTTAAGATTTGTGGACTTCAACTCTCAGAATTCTTCAGTCAGCAAAGACCTACAGCAGGGGTGTCCAATTCTTGGCAACTTTAAGACCTGTGGACTTTAAGATTTGTGGACTTCGACTCCCAGAATTCTCCTTGGCGACCTTAAGACCTGTGGACTTTAAGATTCGTGGACTTCAACTCCCAGAATTCTCCTTGGCGACTTTAAGACCTGTGGACTTTAAGATTCGTGGACTTCAACTCCCAGAATTCCCCTTGGCAATTTTAAGACCTGTGGACTTCGACTCCCAGAATTCCCCTTGGCGACTTTAAGATCTCTGGACTTCAACTCCCAGAATTCCCCTTGGCAATTTTAAGACCTGTGGACTTTAAGATTTGTGGATTTCGACTCCCAGAATTCCCCTTGGCGACTTTAAGACCTGTGGACTTCAATTCTCAGAATTCTGGGAATTGAAGTCCACAGGTCTTCAAGTTGCCAAAGTTGGACATCACTGTTCTAGATGACCCTTTGGGGAGGGGCTTGCACACCACCTGGCTCCTTCACAAATTGGGCCACAGTACCTCCGCCCCCAACTCTACTTCCATCAAGCACGGAAGGTCTCTGTTAAGAAAATTCTCGCCTTTCGAAAATACCAGGAAGGTGGGTAGGGAGTTCCAGTCAAAGGTGGTTAACCCAATTTACCTGCATCATCCCAAAGTCTGTAGACCACTTTCCGTCCAGGCAAGGTTGTCTTCTCTGGGTCTTCGGTCACTTTCAGCCTTGGAGAACCGTTGACTTCCACCAGCTAAAGATGGAGCAAAACGCAAGAAAGTTAATGACGCTTGACCTCATTGAGGACCCCTGCGCTCAGAGCAACAAAGGTGATCAGGGGACTGGAGGCTAAAGCATATAAGGAACGGCTGCTGGAATTGTATATGTCTAGTTTACTGAAGAGAAGGACGAAGGGGGACAGGATAGCAGTCTTCCAGTATCTCAGGGGCTGCCCCAAAGAAGAGGGAGTCAAGCTCTTCTCCAAAGCGCCTGAAGGCAGGACAAGAAGCAACGGGTGGAAACTAATCAAGGAGAGAAGCAACCTAGAACTAAGGAGAAACTTCCTGACAGTGAGAACAATTAACCAGTGGAACAACCTGCCTCCAGAAGCGGTGAATGCTCCGACACCGGAAGTTTTTTAAGAAGAGACTGGACAGCCATTTGTCTGAAATGGTATAGGGATTCCTGCCTGAGCAGGGGGTTGGACTAGATGACCTCCAAGGTCCCTTCCAACTTTATTATTATTATTATTAAAATGTGGTACCCTGCCTTATCGTTGAGAGGCGTGGCATATAAATTTAATAAATAAAATGGTGTAATTAAGAGGTCCTGGGTGCTCCCTGTGCTTGGCTGGTTTCTTGCAGACGTTTCTTTACCCAAGTAGGTGCTAGCCCTGAGGATGTTCCCTAGCTGGGTAATGAAACGTCTGCAAGAAAACAGCCAAGCTCAGAGATCACCAAGGACCCCCCAGTCTTTCTCCTCCTCCTCCTTCATAAACCCCACTTTCTTCTAGCATGGATGACGTTTGGGTCATGAAACATCTGAAAAAAAAAAACCGCCCAGCTCGGAGAGCACCCAGGACCCCTCATTACAGTATTTTATTTATTAAATTTAATAAATAAATTCATCCTCCCCTTCTCCTCCTCTTCCTCCTTCTCCTCCATAAACCCCACTTTTTTGTAGCACGGATGACGTTACCTCGTTTGGGTCATGAAACGTCTGCAAGAAAATCACCCAGTTTGGAGAGCACCAAGGAACCCTCATTATAGTATTTTAGTTATTAAATTTAATAAATAAATTCCTCCTCCTCCTCCTCTTCTAGAGTCAGAAGTTCTAGACCAGAGCTGGGGACCGATGGCTTGTGGACTTCAATTGATGGCTTGTGGACTCCCTTGATGGCTTGTGGACTTCAATTCCCAGAATCCTTGGGCTTCTCCAGCTCAAATTCCTGGAATTCTGGGAGTTGAAGTCCTCAAGAGGCCATCGTTCCCCACCTCTGCTCTACAGGTGGATCCCTCTCCCCTGCCTCACAGCACAATTCCTGGCTTGCAAAGGCTGCCCTAGAGAAGCAATCTGGCTTTTGGTCAACCTCCCCTCTGCCCCCCAAAGAGCAGAGGGGTTAATTACCTTGTAGACGCAGCCTAAGGTCGTCTGTAGAGGACACGTCACCAGATGGGTCCCAACGCCAATCATATCGATTTCGTTGCCCTGCGAGGAACACAACGAGACCAAAGGGGAACTCCTGAGCCCAGATTTACAGACTGATCATACACACACACACACAAATCTCACAAGGTCACACCAATCGGGGCAGGTCAGACTTTTGAACCTCATGGGAGCGGTGTCCTCTCCTGGTATCACGGGGGCTGGAGGACCCCAAGTACAGACCCTGTATTACAGGGGTCTTCAAACTCGGCCCTTTTAGGACTCGTGGACTTCAACTCCCAGAATTCCTCAGCTAGGCACACATGCCTGGCTGAGGAATTCTGGGAGTTGAGGTCCACGAGTCCTAAAAGGGCCGAGTTTGAAGACCCCTGCTCTAACACTGGAAGTTTTTAAGAGGAGACTGGACAGCCATTTGTCTGAAATGGTATTGGGTTTCCTGCCTGAGCAGGGGGTTGGACTAGATGACCTCCAAGGTCCTTTCCAACTTTATTATTATTATTACTACTACTATTATTATTGTTGATCATCGCACAGTCAGCCAGATGTTCAGACTGGATTTGGCATTTTGTCTACCTATCGAGTCCTTACCCAGGACCTGGGATAGGCAGATGTGGATGTTTGATGGTATTACAGATATCGTCGCAGGATGGAAGCAGTTCCTAGTAAGGCCGCCTTTTGCAATTGACTAATAGCGAATTTGTCAATGCCGATGGTGTTCAAGTGGTGCTCCAGTTGTTTTGGGATTGCACCCAAGGAGCCTATGACTATTGGTACTACCCTTGCTTGCTTTTGCCACAGTCTTTCTATTTCTATTTGTAGGTCTTTGTATTTTGTTATCTTCTCCAGTTCTTTCTCTTCTATTCTGCTATCTCCAGGCACTCCAACGTCCACTATCCAGACTTTTTTGTCTTTCTTATCGACAATTGTTAAGTCTATTATTATTAATATTATTATTATTATTGAGTAGCCTGGGTCTTTCTTCTCTCCTGTCTAATAATATAGGCTGTTCTTAACTTTCAACCATTCATTTAGTGACCGTTCCAAGTTACAACGGCATCGAAAAAACCAAATTACGGCCTTTTTTCACGCAAATATTTAAGCATCAAACTCAGGCACTCTTTTTTTTTAAAATTTTTTTTTTTAAATTTCCCATCAGTGTCCAAAATGTCTCTAATTGTTTATAATTTCAGAGCAAGCTATATTTGGGTAACCAAAAGCTTCCCTTATTCAAACTTATTCAAACACTCATGGGAAATTAAAATTAAAAAAAGAAAAGCGAAAACAGGATACTGATTGAACAGATGGAATGGAAATTTTAGGGTCAGTGGTGTAAGTAAGATGCGGACTCCCCTAATATAAATATGGGGTGATAATCCGGATTGCTCTGATCGTTTCCAAAATAGAAGAAGTGCATTATTTGTATCACACCGCACCACTATCACAACACAAGTAGTTCTTCAGCGACTAAAAATACACAATATTCCATTTCGAACTGTGTACAGTCCTTCCTACCACACCCTTCTTTGGAAAAAACACACACTTCTCCCTGTGCTTCGGCATATGACTTTTAATTGTTCGATTACTCATATTTTTTCCCCTCGTTTACTTATTTCATCCAATTCACACAGCAGTCCATCTCCTATGTGTGACTCTAGGCAGCTCACAAGTGAAAACAACAACAACAAAAAAGCCACATCAATAAAAATAACTACAAGTTAAAAGAGTTAAAAGAATATTATATAATTAGAAAAACAACGCTTGGAATCCAGATTAAGGTTTAATCATTTTGCAGAATATGTTCAGTAGACATCAGCTGCGCTTGCGCAATGCAGGTTCAAACGAAAACAAAAACACTGAAACCCAGCAATTGCGTTTTTACAATACCTTAAACTGGGTCACTTTTAAACTCTGTTAGTTTTTTGTGCAAAACCAGCCAATTTGGTTCAACATTCAATGTTTGATGCAAATTTAGGAAATGCACTCCGTGTGCATTTGAACTGTGACAAATATACAATGTGAACATTTTAAGAGCATTATCAGGATACTTATTAAAGTTTAGCTCTCTTCAGCTGGAACAAAGGAGAATGTGTCAGAATTTAAAAAAAACGGGAATAGAACGGGAGAATTTTGACTACTGCAAACTTTTAGCACACCATTGCAATATTAATATACTGCTTCAGGTTTTGGTCACCACACTACAAAAAAGATGTTGAGACTTTGGAAAAAAGTGCAGAGAAGAGCAACTAAGATGGTTAAAGGCCTGGAGACTAAAACATACGAAGAACGGCTGCAGGATTTGGGTTTGGCTAGTCTAGAGCAGGGGTAGGCAACCTTGGCTCTTTTATGACTGGTGGACTTCAACTCCCAGAATTCCTGAGCCAGCATGGCTCAGCTTGGAAACCTCTCCCTTTCTCCTCAGCATGGCTGGCTCAGGAATTCTGGGAGTTGAAGTCCACCAGTCATAAAAGAGCCGAGGTTGCCGACCCCTGATCTAGAGAAAAGAAGGACTGGGGGGGGGGACATGATAGCAAAATTCCAATAATTGAGGGGCTGCCACAAAGAAGAGGAGGGGGTCAACATATTTTCCAAAGCCCCTGAAGGCAGGACAAGAAGCAACGGATGGAAACTCATTAAGGAGAGAAGCAACCTGGAATTAAGGAGCAACTTCCTAACAGAACAATTAACCAGTGGAACAGCTTGCCACCAGAGGTTATGGCTGCTCCAACACTGGAGGTTTTTAAGAAGAGACTAGAGAGCTACTTGTCTGGCTCAGAAATTCTGGGAGTTGAAGTCCACAAGTCATAAAAGAGCCAAGATTGCCTACCCCTGGTATAGGTTCTCCTGCTTGAGTGAGGGGCTGGACTAGAAGACCTCCAAGGTCCTTTCCAGCTCTATTCTATTCCCATCCTCACTGCAAAAGGCAAGAAAGCTTTGGGGCCCCAGACAGCACCCTAAAATATTCCAGAATATTTCTCCACCCCATCCCAAGATGCTTCGCCGTATCCTCACCTCTTGAGATAATTCTTCCAAGCTCTGTTCACTGACATCGTTGCTTACCGTGATGGGTATCCTCTCAAACCATGGAACCTGGAAACTGGAAGGGAAGACACAGGGGTTAAGTGACACCCCCTTTTCCAGAGTCCCCTCATTTTTTCTGCTCCAACACACAACCACATCTGCAGCCTATGGTACCAAGGGGTCCAGCTTTCTCCACCAAGACTTTGTTAATGCCAGTAACAATATGGAAGATAGTAACTGAAATAGTAAAGCTTTATACAGGATTTGGACTTATTTAGATGAAATGTTACTGATTAAGAAAAAAAGAAGGAATGTTATTAATAAATGAATATTGTGTTAATGGGGAAAAAAAGTATGGAGAGACATTTGAAGTGTTAATTATGTATTTATGTTACCAATATGGAATATAGCAATTGAAATAGTAAAGCTTAATATAGGATTTGGATTTATTTAGATGAAATCTTATTGATGACTGTTCTGACTGACTTAGTTGTACTGAAATATATTAGCTTGAATATAATATACTACTAGAGGGAATAGAGAGAGGTGCATTTTTTTTTAAATGATTTAATTTTATATTTACGAGTATGATTTTGTATTTGGACAATTGCTTGCCCTGCCACCACAGTGATTCTTAAGCACTGGTTTGTAAAATGAAAGAATAAAACTTGTTTTTGTTTTTTTAAGATTTTCTTAGTGCCACAAAAACGGAAAGATACCTTAATTTATCCCACAATAGATAAATGGCTGGGAAAAAAAAAAAAAAAACAGATGGAACTAGCAGAGATGGCTAAATTGCCTGTTCGAATCAAAGAAAAGAATACATCCAATTTCATTTTCTACTTGGAAGCCACTTCTGGGTTTTGTGCCCGCCATGTAAAAAAAAAAATAATGAAATTTTAAATTTGGATATTTTGCTGATCAGGTAAGTTTGTTGTTAGTATAGGACAGGGGTAGGCAACCTTGGCTCTTTTATAACTGGTGGACTTCAACTCCCAGAATTCCTGAGCCAGCCACGCTGAGGGGAAAAGGAGAGGTTTCCAAGCTGAGTCATGCTGGCTCAGGAATTCTGGGAGTTGAAGTCCACGAATCATAAAGCAGCCTAGGCCAGAGATAGGCAACCTTGGCTCTTTTATGACTTGTGGACTTCAACTCCCAGAATTCCTGAGCCAGATGGGGAAACTATGGCGCCATTCATGACTGGTGGACTTCAACTCCCAGAATTTCTGAGCCAGCACAGCTCAGCTTGGAAACCTCTCCCTTTCCCCTCAGCATGGCTGGCTCAGGACTTCTGGGAGTTGAAGTCCACCAGTCATAAAAGAGCCAAGGTTGCCTACCCCTGTCCTAAGTCCTCCTGCTCTAAGCAGTGAATCTCCTAGACCAGGGGTAGGCAACCTTGGCTCTTTTATGACTTGTGAACTTCAACTCCCAGAATTCCTGAGCCAGCCACACTGAAGGGAAAGGGAGAGGTTTCCAAGCTGAGCCATGCAGGCTGAGGAATTCTGGGAGTTGAAGTCCACAAGTCATAAAAGGCCCATGGTTCCCCATGCTGGCTCAGGAATTCTGGGAGTTGAAGTCCACCAGTCATAAAAGAGCCAAGATGGCCTACTCCTGGTACAGGATCAGCCTCATTTGGGGTAGATAAGAAGTTGTAGATTTTTATACTTGTTAATTACAATAACAGATTGTTAACAGAAGGCTTTGAAGTTTAACTTTGCCAATGATTAACCCATTCACTATTTTTTTCTTTATATATAGAATATATGACAGGTCAAGTTGGGTTGGAAATAGGTGTAGAAGCATATAAATTTTGGACCTGTTTCGCAAGGGGGGGGGGAGCTATTATTTTTGCAATATATCTGTCAGCGTTCCATTGGGGGGAGGGAGATAATATCTATTTTTGCTTTTTGTCCTTTTAATCCTTTAAAAAAAATGTTTTGGTCTGCTTTTGTTTTGTCCTTGTGAATTATTTCTCACTTTGTATTTTGTATTTTAATACTTCTGAATAAAACAGTACAAAAAGGAAACATGAGTTTGTCAAAGTAAAAGGTTTAGGCTGTAATGTTATTACAGGGAGTCTTCGGCTTACGATGACAATTGGGTCCAAAATTTCTGTTGGTAAGTGAATCAGTTAAGTGAATTTTGTCCCACTGAATGAACTTTCTTGCCCCAGTTGTTAACTGAATCACCATAGTCACACGGTCGTTAAGTGAGTCTGGCTTCCCCACTGACTTTGCGTGTCAGAAGGTCGCAAAAGATAACAAAATACAAAGACCTACAAATAGAAATAGAAAGACTGTGGCAAAAACAAGCAAGGGTATAACCAATAGTCATAGGCTCCTTGGGTGCAATCCCAAAACAACTGGAGCACCACTTGAACACCATTGGCATTGACAAATTTGCTATTAGTCAATTGCAAAAGGCAGCCTTACTAGGAACTGCTTTCATCCTGCAACGATATCTGTAATACCATCAAACATCCACATCTGCCTACCCCAGGTCCTGGGTAAGGACTCGATAGGTAGACAAAATGCCAAATCCAGTCTGAACATCTGGCTGACTGTGCGATGATCCAAAATAATAATATCATCATCATCACCAAACATCCACATCTGCCTATCTCAGGTCCTTGGCTGACTGTGCGATGATTAATAATAATAATAATAATAATGATGATGATGATGTAGACTCTCTTAGTGCCAGGGATTGAATCTGAATCCAGGTGAATGATCTAGAAATGGGAAGGCCTGGAAAAAAAGTGGAAAACCTGGGGGGTGGGGGAAATTGTTTTTTTCCCCAAATGGCTTTGGGGAAAAACGGGAACTTCCCATTTTTTTCTAATTTTTCCCGTTTTTTTTCCGGGCCTTCTCATCCAGAGGGTGGATGTTCACCCCTTCCTTATCAGCAGCTACAAAAGTGAAGTTGACGTTTCTGCAAAATTTAAACTCTTCTTTGCCAGGTGAGCAATGAAACCCGGGACCAGCCACCAACCCCCCCCTCAACTCACTGCTTGCTGCAGGTGCGAAAGATGTGCCGGATCTCCACCGACTGCTTGGCCAGGTCTCCGCTGTCCAGCCGGACTCCGATGGCTCGGTATCCTAGCTTGTTCAACGCCAGGGCGACAGCACAAAAGTTCGGGATGCCACTCCTGAGAAGATCAAGGCCATCGGTCAGGCTCTCCGAAGGAGACCAAGAGGGCCTTCAAGACCTACAGCGGACCCCTTCTTTTTTTATATAAACATTTTATTAATTTTCTAGTTTCACAATCAAATACTTAATGGACAACGTGTTGTCTGGGTCCATTATTAATTCAGTGGTCTATATTAACGTCTTCAATTTAGATCCAGTATTACACCGTTAAATGTTTTTCCTCTCTTCTTCCAGTAGTGCCTGTTTTCCCACACTGGGCAAATTGACTTGGAAAGTTAGAATCAAATAGAGCTGGAAGGGACCTTGGAGGTCTTCTAGTCCAGCCCCCTGTTCATGGAGGAGAACCTAGACCAGGGGTAGGCAACCTTGACTCTTTTATGACTCATGGACTTCAACTCCCAGAATTCCTGAGCCAGCATGGCTCAGCTTGGAAACTCTCCCTTTCCCCTCAGCATGGCTGGCTCAGGAATTCTGGGAGTTGAAGTCCACTGGTAAGTGAGTCATAAAAGAGCCAAGGTTGCCTACCCCTGCCCTAGACCAGGGGTGAGGAATCTTGACTCTTTTATGACTGGTGGACTTCAACTCCCAGAATTCCTCAGCCAGCCTCCATTTTGTTTGTTAGATTTAAGACAGGAGTCTTCAAGCTTCGCCCTTTTATGATTGGTGGACTTCAACTCCCAGAATTCCTGAGCCAGCATGGCTCAGCTTGGAAACCTCTCCCTTTCCCCTCAGCATGGCTGGCTCAGGAATTCTGGGAGTTGAAGTCCACGAGTCGTAAAAGAGCCAAGGTTGCCTACCCCTGACCTAGACCATCTCAGACAAGTGACTGTCTAGCCCAGTGATGGTGAACCTTTTGCCCAAACTGCAACCCAAAACCCACTTATTTATCGCCGGGTGCCAGGTGGGCGTGGCCCACTGGGTGGGCAAGGCTATGGTGGTCATGGCAGAATAGGTGGGCATGGTCACCTTGATGTTGCTCGTGGGCAGGGGCTCCTGTGGGGGCCGGACAGGGTTGGGGGAGATTCAGGGGGTCTCTGGTGGGTGGGGCAGTGGGCAGGAGGCTCGTCCTGCGGGATGAGGGAAGGCAAGGCAAGGCGGGAGTACCATTGTCGCATGGCAAGGCAATGCAGAGGCCAGAGCAGCTGCTGCCTGACACCATCGCCCCCCCCACACACAGAGGCCAGCGAGCGCATGGGGGCCGATGGTGTCCATCAGCAGCCACAGCCTGCTGGCCCTTTGACCAGCGCACTCTGGGGCTCCACAGCCCACCGCCAGCAGTTTGGAGAAGCCGCCTCTGAGCTGGATGGCCGGCCGACAGCTGAGGAGGCGATGCAGTGGGTCGTGCCCGGGAAAAAGAGAGCATGCGAGGCTAGGATGGGATGGGGGGGGGAGGGAGGGAAACCAGCCGTGCTGGGATGCATCCGGCCACGTGGGACCTCGGCGAGTTAGCGGGCAGCTGGTTGAAGAGGGACGGTTGCCAGCTCAGGGGCATGGCGCGCGCGCCCACAGAGTGAGTGCCGCCTCTGGCCCGCGTGCCATAGGTTCGCCACCACTGGTCTAGCCTCTTCTTAAAAATCTCCAGTGATGGAGCACCCACAATTTCTGGAGTTGGCAAAGGAAGAAAGCTAGAGTAAGGCTGAAGAAAACAGAGGTTTTGATCCACTAGATCAGTGTTTCCCAAACTTGACAATTTTAAGGCATGTGGACTTCAACTCCCAGAATTCTACAGCCAGCAATGCCGGCTGTGGAATTCTGGGAGTTGAAGTCCACATGCCTTAAAATTGTCAAGTTTGGGAAACACTGCACTAGATGGGAGATCATATTATTAACTAGATGCTTGATGTTGGTGGAGAATAGATAACGGCTAGGAATAGGAGCATTATCATAACTAGAAAGGTAAGATTTGTAATGAGAATATTGGATTTTGCAAGTTTGTCAATGTAAAGTAACTAATTGTCACCAGTAAAAATTACTTAGAATTTGGTGGGAGAAATAAACTAAAATAAGGACTGTAACAGGATTGATGATAAGGCAATTTAAATGAATGGAAAGAAAAGAATGCATTAATGATGATGATTGTTTTTTAGGAATATTGGAAAAAATATATATCAAATTGTCTCTTATTAAAACAATAAGAATTATATTAACGTAATGTTTGCAAAAAAAGGATGTTTCAGGGAAAGAGGAAAGTAAACAAAAATTAATATATGAAATACAGACTATATAAATTAATTTTTAAGGATTGTTTTTACAAATGTAACCCAGACATCACACTGTTTACCAACTATTGTGACTTATGTTTGTGCAAAAAAAATTAATAAAAAATATATAGAAAAAAAAAGAATATTGGATTTTGGTTCGAGATGGGAAACAGGAACATGTTCAGTAGTTTGAAGAACGGAAGCTTTGGGTTACCCAAATATAACTGACTTTGAAATAAGAAACAACAGAGGCATTTTGAACACTGAGGGGAAATTAAAATACAATAAAAAAGCGAAAACAGGACACTGATTGAACATGTGGATATTAGGTGCAAACGCAATTAAGGTATGTTTTGGTTAGAAAAGTTATCTAAAACGGACATTATTGATCTGATGAGAAAAATGGAGCAAAGTTGTTGATATTCAATTGTATATTTATTAATATTAATATTAATAATTCTCCTCGGCTTATGACCAAAACTGTATTCTTCTAGATCAGGGCTCTTCAAACTTGGCCCTTTTATGACTTGTGGGACTTCAACTCTCAGAATTCCTCAGCCAGCTATGCTGGCTGAGGAATTCTGGGAGTTGAAGTCCACAAGTCATAAAAGGGCCATGTTTGAAGAGTCCTGTTCAAGATGTTGCTTTGGCCTACAGGATACCTTAGCAGTCTCCCCTCCAAGGCCTGGAAGCCCCCTCCCAGCTTAGCTTCTGACCTCAGCCAAGGATGAGCAGGCCAGCCCCACCCCAAACCACAGCCCCTCAAGATTCCGCCGAAAAGTGGGGTCTTCAGCCGTCCTTTTTCTTACCTCATGACGCAGTAGGTGTCCACCAGCCCGTGGAAGTTGTGCGGGTAGGCGATGGCGTAGGACATGAAGGCCGCCCGCTCTCCACAGCTCACCTTCTCCAGCGAGACTCGGAGTAATTGGCAGACTTGGGTCAACCACTTGTCCACTAAAGTGGGAAAGTCCACGGGCTCCTTCCCAGTCAGGGGCAGCAGACTCTACTGGGGAAAAGAGAGAGACTGCCCAACCCGCTTCTCCAGAAGGGCTACGACTTCAACCACCATCTTAAGAGCCTGGGATCTCTTGGCCCTGCTTGGAAAGGACCTTCCGCAGATGCTTCTTGGAGGACTAATTGGGGTCCCTCAGCTGATATTCTGTAGCTATTTGCTAAGATCTTTCCCAAAGGTCCATGTCTTGTGTTCCTAAGGCCAAGACAGGAGATTCACAAGACTGTGGATCTCCTTGCCCAAGAAAACCACCAAGGTCAGAGAGCACCAAGAGGAAGGAAGGAAGGAAGGAAGGAAGGATCACTGATGAAAGTCCACAGTTGGGTCTTGGAACGTCTGCAAGAAAACCACCAAGCTCAAAGAGTACCAAGGAGAAGGAAGGGAGGCAGGGAGGGAGGAAGGATGGATTACTGATGACAGTCCCTAGTTGGGTCATGAAACGTCTGCAAGAAAACCACCAAGCTCAAAGAGTACCAAGGAGAAGGAAGGGAGGCAGGGAGGGAGGAAGGATGGATTACTGATGACAGTCCCTAGTTGGGTCATGAAACGTCTGCAAGAAAACCACCAAGCTCAGAGAGTACCAAGGAGAAGGAAGGGAGGCAGGGAGGGAGGAAGGATGGATTACTGATGACAGTCCCTAGTTGGGTCATGAAACGTCTGCAAGAAAACCACCAAGCTCAAAGAGTACCAAGGAGAAGGAAGGGAGGCAGGGAGGGAGGAAGGATGGATTACTGATGACAGTCCCTAGTTGGGTCATGAAACGTCTGCAAGAAAACCACCAAGCTCAGAGAGTACCAAGGAGAAGGAAGGGAGGCAGGGAGGGAGGAAGGATGGATTACTGATGACAGTCCCTAGTTGGGTCATGAAACGTCTGCAAGAAAACCACCAAGCTCAGAGAGCACCAAGAAGGAAGGAAGGAAGGAAGGAAGGAAGGGAAGGAAGGATGGATCAATGATGACAGTCCCTAGTTGGGTCATGAAACGTATACCTCTATCTACTATGGTCTAGATCCACAGAGAATCCTCAGTTTCCCCAGAACAGGCAACAACTGAACTTCTATCTTCTCACCCACCTTTAATTATCAAAGGAAGCAACAGGGCTTCATGATTTCATTAGGTTTTCTTTCTATATTTGCATCTAGCTTGAGATCAAGCCGAGATGGAGAGCCCAACAATGCACATAACAGAGAATCATCATCAGGAGGAGGAGGAGGGGTTGGAAGGGACCTTGGAGGTCATCTAGTCCAGCCCCCTGCTCAGGCAGGAAACCCTATACCATTTCAGACAAATGGCTGTTCAGCATCTTCTTAAAAACCTCCAGTGTTGGAGCACCCACAACTTCTGGTGGCAAGTCTTTCCACTGGTTAATTGTTCTCACCGTCAGAAAATTTCTCCTTAATTCAAGGTTGCTTCTCTCCTTGATTAGTTTCCATCGCAAGCTAAGTTTTTAAGAAGAGACTTGAGAGCCATTTGTCCGGAATGGTATAGGGTTTCCTGCCTGAGCAGGGGGTTGGACTAGATGACCTCCAGTGTACCTTCCAACTTATTATTATTATTACTATTACTATTATTGTTATAGGAGAGAGAAGAGAGAGGAGAGAGAGAAGAAAAAGAAAAGAGAGAAGGGAGAAGAGAGAAGAAGCTGATCATTGGGGAAATAACAAATATTTACAAATTTGCTCACGATATCCCATGGAAGGTAGTAGTAGTAGTAGTAGTAGTAGTAGTAGTAATAATAAAGTTGGAAGGGGCTTTGGAGGTCATCTAGTCCAACCCCCTGCTCAGGCAGGAGACCCTATACAATTCCAGATAACTGGCTGTCCAGTCTCTTCTTAAAAAGTTCCAGTGCTGCAGCATTCACAGCCTCTAGAGGCAGGTTGTTCCACTGGTTAATTGTTCCAACTTTTGGGAAATTCCTCTTTAGTTCCAGGTTGCTTCTCTCCTTGGTTAATTTCCATCCATTCTTTCTTGTCCTGCCCTCTGGTGCTTTGGAGAACAATTTCACACACACAAAGACACAGACACAGATCTTTGTGGCAGTTTAACCACAGTGATCTTTTGGGGAATGTCTCTCGTCGCCTTGAATACTAACCCGTGGGTTTACGTCATCCATGGAGGTGAAGGAAGACACGTAGGAGTGAGCCAACGTTCCCTGGACTGGAATTCCGTAGAGTTTCCCGGCAAGGACGTTGCTGGTGAAATCGAAACCTGGAAAAGGTTAATTTGGAAGATGGGGGGGGGGGCGGGAATTAGGACACAGGATGAAAAGTATTGAAAAGTATTCGGAGACTACAGTTGGTCCAGAATGCAGCCGTGCGAGTGATAGTGGGTGCTCCTCGATGTACCGTTACACCTGTCCTCCGCGAGATGCACTGGTTGCCTATTGGTCCAATTCAAGGTGTTGGTCATTACCTTTAAAGCCCTATATGGCTCAGGGCCAGGCTATTTGCGAGACCGCCTACTACCTCATAGTTCCCTACGTCCGGTTAGATCCCACAGGCTGGGCCTCCTTCGGGCCCCGTCGACCAAGCAGTCCCATTTGGCGGGGCCGCGGAGGAGGGCCTTCTCTGTGATGGCGCCCACACTTTGGAATCAGCTCCCCCCGGAGATTAGGACCACTCCCACCCTGTTGGTTTTCCGTAAGTTGCTTAAGACCTGGCTTTTCCGGCAGGCCTGGGGTTTATAAAATCTGACCCCTGGATGACTGTTCTTGTACTGTTTGTTTTGTTATGTTTTATGTGTTTTTATTGTTAGCCGCCCAGAGTCCTCTGGGAGTGGGGCTTATAAATTTTAAAAATAAAATAAAATAAATAAACAGGAGGAGAGGAGCTGAGACAGAACATCCAAGAACCCCTCGGGCTACGGAATGACCATCTGAAGTCACAACAGCACGGGAAAAAAAGTAACTTATGACCAGTTTTCACTCTTGAGGATTTGCAGCATCCCCATGGTGGTCCTCAACATACGACTGTTCATTTAGTGACTGTCTGAAGTCGCAGCGGCAATGGATCAAGTGCCTTCGGACCGTTTTTCACACTTACGACCGTTGCAGCATTCCCTCAGGGTCATGCGAAGGGACGCTTGGCAACTCCTCGTACTTAGGACGGTCACAGCGTCCCGGGGTCACGTGATCCCCTATTGTGACCGCCTTCAATGAGGATTCACTTAACGACCGGGTTACTGACTGAGCCACCAAAGTGATTCACTTAAAAAGTGGAGCCAGAAATGTCGTAAAATGGGGCACAACTCACTCAACACGTGTCTCACTTAGCAACGGAAATTTTGGGCTCAACTGTGGTTGCAGGTTGAGGACTACCTGTACTTATCCTGGGGGGGGGGTCACCTGTTCCCCTTTTGCGACATTCCGACAAGCAGAGTCAGAGGGAGGACCAAACCACCGTGGGAGTCCAGGTGGCGACTGCGATGGGTCAGTTTGGACAAGATCGCCCCAGAGGGTCAAACTGTGGTAGGGTCCAAACTTTCTCATTTGGGGCCAAGTTTCCAATTTAACAGAAGGAAAATTCAAAGCCTGCCTCTTATTAAGGATCGCCTAATTCTGTTTTTATCCACTTTTTGGAGCTGGAAATTTTGTGGTCCCAGAATATAATGTATTTTGCACAAGCAGGTGATACGGTAGATAGATAAGATAGATTAGATAGATTAGATTGATTAGATTGATTAGATAGATAGATAGACAGACAGACAGACAAATGGATGATAGACAGATAGAGATAGATAGATGATAGATAATGATAGAGATAGATAGATAGATAGATAGATAGATAGATAGATAGATAGATAGACAGACAGACACAGACAAATGATGGATGGATGATGATAGATAGAGATAGATAGACTGACAGACAGATAAATGATGGATGGATGATAATGATGATTAGATAGATAGACAGACAAACAGACAAATGGATAATGATAGATAGATATAAATGATAGATAATGATAGAGATAGATAGACAAATGATGGATGGGTGATGATGATAGATATATAGATAGATAGATATAGATAGATAGATAGATAGATAGATAGATAGATAGATAGATAGATAGATAGACAGACACAGACAAATGATGGATGGATGATGATAGATAGAGATAGATAGACTGACAGACAGATAAATGATGGATGGATGATAATGATGATTAGATAGATAGATAGATAGATAGACAAACAGACAAATGGATAATGATAGATAGATATAAATGATAGATAATGATAGAGATAGATAGACAAATGATGGATGGGTGATGATGATAGATATATAGATAGATATAGATAGATAGATAGATAGATAGATAGATAGATAGATAGATAGATAGATAGATAGATAGAATACATACATACATATGTGGGAGATGAAAATATAACCCCCTCTTCATATAATAAGATAGGGCTGGAACAAACCTGAACTAGGCCCTCACTGTAGTGATTTAAAGCTTTAACTTGAACTTTATGTTGTTTTGCAATAGGAACGTATTATTTGTAATCTGCTCAGCTTTGTGCAATGTGAAATTGCGAAGTAGATAGGTCTATGTATGTTTGTAACAGTAAGAAAAAGGGAACTGAAAGTAGTTGATGGATGTGGGTTCCAATGTACACAGGTATATGTGGAAAGTTATGTTCAGCAGGAGGTCAGCAAAAAGTCAGCAGAAGTCAGTGGACCATCTGACTACAGAACAAGAAAGGGTATAAAGAGTTGGGCTTTGCCATGACTGATTTGCCATTGGCCTATAGCTGTCCTATTGGAGTTTGTTATACCATATGGTCCTCATTGCAATGTAAGTGATGCTGTGTTATTATGCTATGTTCCAAATTATTAGCAAAATAAACCTCTGAATCTTAAAGTAAGAATTATTGTTTCGTGCTGCTGACTTTTGTCTTTTTCACTGGGTTTTTCCACAACAGATAAATAGCTCAATGATAGATAGATAGATAGATAGATAGATAGATAGATAGGTAGGTAGATAGATAGATAGATAATAATAGCTTAATGATAGATAATGATAGATGATGATAGATGATAGGTAATAGCTCGATGATAGATAATAGCTCAATGATAATGATAATTATAGATAATGATAGATAGATGATAAATAGATGATAGATAATAGCTCAATGATAGATAGATAGATAGATAGATAGATAGATAGATAGATAGATAGATAGATAGATAGATAGATAGATAGGACAAATGAGATGGATAGATGAATGACAGACAGAAAGATGAGATGTATGTGACAGACAGATGGACAGATGATAGACAAATGATGGATAGATGAATGAGACAGACAGACAGGAGAGATCAGTGGTGTCAAACTCGCAATGTCACACAACGTGTCGCAATGTATTGCGACTTTTTTCCCCATTGCCGGCAATGGGGTGGGCGCGGTTTTGGCATGACGCATCTGGCCCACGGACCGGCAGTTTGACAACCCTGCGATAGATGATAGCAATAGATCATAGACAGATGACATATACATGATAGATGAGAGAAAGACACAGACACAGACACACACAGAGACACAGAGCGAGCGAGAGTAATCCAAAAATCTTGGTTCCTTTGTTCCGGCTCTCTATTCTGGATGGTGGAAATCTAGCAGTTCTTTTAAACCAGGGTAGGCAACCTTGGCTCTTTTATGACTGGTGGACTTCAACTCCCAGAATTCCTGAGCCAGCCATGCTGAGGGGAAAGGGAGAGGTTTCCAAGCTGAGCCAGGCTGGCTCAGGAATTCTGGGAGTTGAAGTCCACCAGTCATGAAGGGGGCATAGTTCCCCCATGCTGGCTCAGGAATTCTGGGAGTTGAAGTCCACAAGTCATAAAAGAGCCAAGACTGCCTACCCTGGTTTTAAACCGACCAATTGTCAAAAGGAAGGCACTGCAAGCAAGCAAGTGCAGAGGGGAAGCAAGACGATATTGACGGGGATGTTCAGGAGCCTTTCTTTGCCTCCGCAAAAGGGACTGAAACATTTGTAAGTCCTGAGAAAAGAGGTCACATTTGGAAGCAGCGCCAGGGCAGACGCCTCCCCGATTCGAGAGAGTCTAAAGCAGTGGTTCTCAACCTTTCTAATGCCGCGACCCCATAATACAGTTCCCCATGTTGTGATGACCCCCAACCACTTATACATCACCGGGTGCCAGGGGAGTGGCCAAAGAAAAGGGGAAAAAAATGGCGGACAGCCTTGTTTGGCGACCCCCGTGAAATGGTCGTTCGACCCCAAATGGGGTCCCGACCCACAGGTTGAGAACCACTGGACTAAAGCAACTTGGCCATTCCCAATGAAAGCAGTTTTAGCCTTCCTGTGGAGTTGATCTCCGGGTCTGGTCTGACCTCAAGTCCTCCCACAGTAGCCTTCAAGAGGAGAGTCACAAAGCGGACCTTACCACCCACGTAGGAGTACTTGGATGCCGAGAGGCCTCCGTCCAGCCCTTGAGCCCGACGCAGACCCATCTCCATCAGCTTCTTGTCCGGGCCGGCCACGAGACGGAACCGGGCAGCATTGGTGGCCACCAGACTGCAGAAGAAAAATCCAAACGAAGAAGGTCAGACCTGCCACCGCTTCAACCTCTGGATAAAAACGATCCTTGGCTCCATTTGTTGACAAAGGTTTTATTAGAGGTCAAGTGTATTGCAGCATTGAGTAGCCAGGACTGAGAATCGCCCGTCAAAATCCCCAAGTTTTTTTTTTTAAAGTTTTATTAGATTTTATAGGATTAGGGATAAAATGGGATCAGGGTTGGGGTTATTCCCCCAATAACATTTTCAGTTATTTCAGTTACCTTTAAAGCCCTTCATGGCATAGGGCCAGGTTACTTACAGACCACATACTGCCGCACAGTTCCCAGAGACCGGTGAGGTCCCATAGATTGGGCCTCCTTCAGGTCCCGTCGGCCAGACAATGTCGGCTGGCGGGCCCTCGGGGAAGGGCCTTTTCTGTGGTGGCTCCGACCTGGTGGAATCAACTTCCCCCCGAGGTTCGAACTACTCCCACCTTGCCGGCCTTTAAGAAAGCCGTTAAAACTCTCCTGTTCCGGCAGGCCTGGGGCTGATGTCCCCGGGGGGGGGGCAGGACATGATCGGACTTGCGGTATGATTGAATTATTTTATTGTTTTATTCTCGATGATTGTTTTAATTTTGTACGCCGCCCTGAGTCCTTTGGGATTGGGCGGCATATAAATCAATTAAATAAATAAACAGGATTAGGGATAAAATGGGATCAGGGTTGGGGTTATCCCCCAATAACATTTTCAGTTATTTAGCAAACAGGATATTGTCTGAGTACATATATTTAGATAGCAATAATTAATATAATAATAAATAGCAATAGTAAATACGATTATCATAAGCAGTATTAATCAATCCATAACATCCTTCTTACTAATATGTATTCAGAATTACATATCTCCTTCCTTTCTCTCTAATTCGTTTTTCTAGCCATTGATAAAAGTTGTCCCACGTTCTAAAGTAAACTGAGTCATCTTTCTCTTTATAATCTCTAAAGTCGATCTATCCATTTCTGCACATTCTAGAATTTTCTTGATTAACACTTCTTCAGTTGATAAATTTTCATTTTTTCAATACTGGGCAAATACAATTCTGGCTGCTGTTCATACATGTACCGTACTTTCTGGCGTATAAGACGACTTTCGCAAGCGTTAAAATCGGCGCCGAAGTCGGGGGTCGTCTTATACGCCGAGTCGCCTTATACGCCGGAAATAACAGTAGTTTCTGGCGTATAAGACGACTTTCTAGGCATGTGACTTGGCGCCGAAGTCAGGGGTCGTCTTATAAGCCGGGTCGCCTTATACGCCAGAATATACGGTAATATCAAATATCCGCTCTCCTTCTCGTAGTTAGCTCCTACTATTCCTAACAAAAACAATTCTGGTTTAAAATCTATCTGTTTTTTTAGTCATCTTCTCCAACCATACATGTATCTTAATCCAAAACTTTTTTTGCTTTAGTACATGTCCAGCAGATATGATAGCTGGTCTTTGTTTACATTTCCAACAGTTATTTGAAGTATTTTTGAACAGTTTCGCTAATCTCACCGGTGTACATTTCCCATCCTTAACGCCCCCCCCCCCATTGCCCACTCCCTTATAGCCAAGCAAGTTATGTTTTCACAATGATCAGTTCAAGCAGATTGGAAGGTGACTCCGGGCCAAATATCCTTGAAGCATAGCCTGAAGGAGACACAGCAGCTACTTCCGATTTCCCAAGCATTTCCCCCCCTTCATCCACATTCCCCCACCGCATAGCGTAGCTTAAGAGTGGCAGCTAACAGAGAATTAACTAATTACCATGATATTACCTGCTCCTCCACCCGTGACACAGAGCACTAATGCAGTTAAGGGCAGCGCAAGGACTGGCTGCATTTAAATATTTCTTTTAAATGTCTTTCTTTCCTGACGCATGTGAAAATTTGGCACAAAATAATTCACCTCCTCATGTCTCAAAGAGCGTTTGCAGAGCCCAGTGGACTCAGATGGACCAAACTAGCTAACATTTCACCCCCAAAATATCCTGCGGAAATCTATACGTATGGACCCTTTACAATTAAATCTACAACCTCTGTTTTTTATTTATCTGTACATTACATAAAAACTTTTGTTCCTGTCATCTTTAACTGAGTAAAACGGTGCATCGTACGGGAAAATTTTTTTGAACCAAGTATTTCAAATGGGATAGGTTGTAGAATTTGTCCAAAATTTGGGATCCAGGACTTCTGTGGAAATTATTATCTTAATAATAATAAATGCCAAATCCAGTCTGAACATCTGGCTGACTGTGCGATGATCCATAATAATAATAATAATAATAATAATAATAATAATAATAATATAATGATAATGATAATAATAATAGTGAAGTTGGAAGGGAGGTCCAACTGGTCATCTAGTCCAACCCCCTGCTCAGGCAGGAAACCCTGTACCATTTCAGACAAATAGCTGTCTTCACTCAGTAAACCTTGAAATATCAATCTCAGATCCATTTTTGGGGGGGGGGGAATTGTTAAATTTCCCAGGAAAAAATATGCCTAATATTATAATATTGAAAATTTTTTTTTTCAAAATGGGCTGGGGTGATTCATCCACAAGACAGGTCGTTTTTGAACTGGAAAGGTTTAAAATCTAAAATATAAAGTTGGAAGGGACCTTGGAGGTCATCTAGTCCAACCCCCTGCTCAGGCAGGACACCCTATACCATTTCAGACAAATAGCTGTCTTCACTCAGTAAACCTTGAAATATCAATCTCAGATCCATTTGGGGGGCGGGGGGGGGGGGAATTGTTAAATTTCCCAGGAAAAGATATAAGAAAAAAAAAAAAAACGGTTTTCAAAATGGGCTGGGGCAATTTGCCCTCAACACGGGTCGTTTTTGAACTGGAAAAGTTTAAAACCTTAAAATATTCTACCCCTCCCTTTAGATTCCCACCTGCCAAACTTCTATGGCTCCTCCTGCAGACTCACCTGGCGTAGTTCACCAGGCAGAGCAAGGTGGTCTCCATCAGCTGGACCACCAACAAGGGGCCTCTCACCTGCAGTAAAGGCACCTGAACGGACAGAGAAGCGGGACGTGAGAGCAGATCCTTTGCAGCTGCTCAAGGACGGTTACTTGGGCTGCCCAGATCTGAGTCGGGCCTTTGAACCCGGAGGCTCCTCGGGATGAAGCTTAGAACATAACAGTCCTTCCAGCGAAAGTTGGGGCTGGTCAAATTAACAGTCCTTCCTCCCTTCCCTTCCCCTCATCCTCCATCCCTTCTCCTCCTTCCTTCCTTCCTTCCTCCCCTTCCCCTCATCCTCCATCCCTTCTCCTCCTTCCTTCCTTCCTTCCTCCCCTTCCCCTCATCCTCCATCCCTTCTCCTCCTTCCTTCCTTTTGCCACCCTCTCCTTTTTTCCCCACCCTCCCACTTCCTTCCTTCCCATCTCCCCTTCCTTTTCCATGTCCCCTTCTTCCTCCCTCCCTCACTTCCTCCTTCCTTCTTTCCCTCCCCCTTCCTTTTTTCCATGCCTTCTTCTTCTGTCCCTCCCTTCCTTTTCTTCCCTCCCCCTTCCCCTCCTTTTCTCCCTCCCTTTTCTTTCATGCCCCCTTCTTCCTTCTCTCTCAACCTCCCTCCCTTCCTTCTTCTTCCCTTTTCATGCCTTCTTCCTCCTTCCCTTCCTCCTTCCTTCCCTTTTTTTCATGCCCTTCTTCCTGTCCCTCCTTCCTTCCCTCACTCCTGCCATCCTTTTCTCACTTGCCTGCTCGCTCGTTCCCTTTTTCCTTTTCTCATGGCCCCTTCTTCCTCCCTTCCTTCCCTCCCTCTCACCCTCCCCCTTCCTTCCTCTCCTTCTTCCCTTTTCATGCCCTTCTTCCTCCCTTCCTTCCTTCCCTTCCCTCCCCCTCGCCCTTCCTTCCTTCCTTCCACTCCTATTCCTTTTTCACGCCTCCTTCCTCCCCTCCCTCACCCTTCCTTCCTTCTTCTCCCCCTTCTTCCCTTTTTTCCTCTTCATGCCTCCTTCTTCCTCTCTCCCTCTTTCCCTCACATCCATCCACCCATCCTCCCTTCCCTCCGCACTTCCTCCCTTCCCTCCCTCCCTACTCCCCCCCCCAGGTAAAAGGAGTGCCAGGATCCTGTCCTGCTCTTCTCCTGGAACCAACGTGGATTGGTTCCACGCTGCCCTACGTCAGGGGGGACGTGGCCAGACGTCGCACTCAAGACCCTCACCCTGCAGAAGACCACGGAGCCCTCCGGGGCGGAGGAGATGGAGACTTCGGAGGCATCCACCGTGGCCAGGTATTCAAAGAACGCTTCCTCCGTTGTGGCAGGAAGGACGGACTTCAGATACTCAATATCTGGGGAAAAAAGCCAAATAAGCAATCCAAAACACGGGGGACACTTTTTAAGACTGGGAAGAACACACACACAAAAAAACTCACAAAGAAGGGGGGGGAAGCATTCCTTCCAACCACCAGGAATTCACTAAGTCCAGCTGTTACACAAGCCCGCTTTTCTTTCAATATGATGGCCAGTGATTGCTCCTCATAGCCTATTTTCTACAAAATGATGATTAACTGTACCCCTTATTCACTTACAACCATGATGCTCACAAGTTGTAAACCGGGTTCACTGATGCGACCGACCCGATTTGAAGACTCTTTTCTGCAGTAGTCACTAAGTAAACGCTGGGTGGTTTCCTTGCAGACGTTTCATTACCCAACTAGGGAACGTCATCAGTGCTAGAATGGAATGAGGTGTGTGGAGAAGAGGAGGAGGAGAAGGAAGAGGAGGACTGTGGGGGTCCTGGGTGCTCTCTGAGCTTGGTGGTTTCCTTGCAGACATTTCATTACCCAACTAGGGAACATCATCAGTGCTAGTAGGAGTGGGGCATGGGGAAAGGAGGAGGAGGAGGAGGAGGAGGGACATGATAGCAGTGTTCCAATACCTCAAGGGCTGCCCCAAAGAAGAGGGAGTCAAGCTATTATCCAAACCGCCTGAAGGCAGGACAAGAAGCAACAGGTGGAAACTCATCAAGGAGAGAAGCAGCCTGGAACTAAGGAGGAACTTCCTGACAGGGAGAACAATTAACCAGTGGAACCACCTGCCTCCAGAAGCAGTAAATGCTTCAACACTGGAAGAAGAGACTGAACAGGCATTTGTCTGAAATGGTATAGGGTTACCTGCCTGAGCAGGGGGTTGGACTAGATGACCTCCAGAGTCCCTCCCAACTTTATTATTATTATTATTATTAAGGATTTGGGGCCCTGACATGTCCACACAAGACTCCCTCTTGCAACATCTCCGGGCAAGCTGAGATCCAGCTGTTGGGCAGAGAGCAGGTGTGGTTATATCACAGTTTGTGAATTACACAGTTTGATAGCAGTGTTCCAGTATTGGGGGGGCTGCCACAAAGAAGAGGGGGTATCCACCTATTCTCCAAAGCACCTGAGGGCAGGACAAGAAGCAACAGATGGAAACTAATCAAGGAGAGAAGCAACCTGGAATTAAGGAGAAACTTCCTAACAATGAGGACAATTCACCAGTGGAACTATCTGCCTCCAGAAGCGTTGAATGCTCCAACACTGGGAGTTTTTAAGAAGAGATTGAACAACCATTTGCCTGAAATGGTATAGGGTCTCCTGCTTGAGCAGGGGGCTGGACTAGATTAGAAGACCCCCAGGGTACCTTCCAAGTCTGTCACTCTGCAAGGGTCTCCTGCTTGAGCAGGGGGCTGGACTAGAGGACCTCCATGGTCCCTTCCAGCTCTGACATCTTGTGGAAACTGATGTCCACTGAAAGAAGTAGAATGGCTTCAGAGTCCCGCTCTCCTCTGAAGAGTCAGAATTTGGACTTCTCACCTCCAGGTGGATTCGGTTAATACAGTGATTCTCAACCTTTTTAATGCCACGACCCCCAACCGGTCGTAAGTCGAGGACTACTCAACCGGTCGTAAGTCGAGGACTACTCAACGGGTGCAGCACCGTTTGCAGAATGGGACTTTTGGCTGGCTCAGCAGGGCAGAGACAGCCTGGACAATTCCTATTGGCTTTCAAAAGCCAAGAGAATAAAAGGGAGTAGCACAGCTAAGGAAAAGGGGGAAAAAAATGGCGGACTGCGTTGTTTGCCGACCCCCGTGAAATGGTCGTTCGACCCCAAATGGGGTCCCGACCCACAGGTTGAGAACCACTGGGTTAATAGCAGTTGGATCAGGAAATCCATAATCCACAGAGTTGAGCTTGCCCTCCCAGTTTGGCTGCAGGTCAGCAACCATCTGCCAGGGATGCTTGACGGAGATTTCTGCCCAAAACAGGCGATTGGCCCCTTCCTATCTCCCTTAAACCCAACTAGGCAGAAACGCCACACTCACAACCGGCAGAAATCTGCCCACATCCGATTCACCAGCCGTGGCTGAATAGCCAGTGCCGGATCTCAAGTTCCAAAGCCTGAATAAAATCGGGATGAAATAGAGGAGAGTTGAAAAGAATAAATATGAGCAGGCTTTTTTAAAAAACAGCCACGGAAGCGGGCGGGCAGGGAAACAGGTTAGAATCTGCACAAAGTGTTCCTTGATTGGTTTCCAAGTCCATTGATGTTGTAAGCCGTCCGGAGTCGTTGGATTAAACGGGGTGGGAAGCAACAGATATTTCATAAGACAGAAACAAACAATAAATTAAAAAAGAATCGGAGAAACCAAAGTCAGAGAAGCATCCGGAGACATGAAAAAATGGGAAGAAAATTGGAGAAAAAAAAAAAAAAGCCAGTTGCAGGATCCTAAAATTTGACGGGGGGGACGGCAAACCGCTCCATTAAAACAAATTTTTTTTTGGGGGGGTGGGCTTTTAGGAACTTAAGGCCAATGTCCTTTTCTGGTGAACGTTCTTATCGCTTTTAATTTCCATCTGGTGTGTATGCAGCACCATCCTAAACACAGAGTAATAGGATTGGACGGGACCTTGGAGGTCTTCTAGTCCAACCCCCTGTCCATTGTAGGAGATCCTATACTATTCTAACCTGTTCTTTGGCCTGGATGGGAAAGGTACACAGGATCACAGAAAAAAAAAAAAATAACAGAACAGAATAACAGAGTCGGAAGGGACCTTGGAGGTCTTCTAGTCCAACCCCCTGCTCAGGCCCTATACCATTTCAGACAAACCCCCAGTGATGGAGCCCTCACAACTTCTTGTGGCAAGCTGTTCCACTAGTTCAGCAGTTCTCAACCTGTGGGTCGGGACCCCATTTGGGGTCGAACGACTATTTCACGGGGGTCGCCAAACAACGCAGTCCGCCATTTTTTTCCCCCTTTTCCTTGGCTGTGCTCCTCCCTTTTATTCTATTGGCTTTTGAAAGCCAATAGAATAGACTCTCTTGAATAGACTCTAATTCTATTGGCTTTCAAAAGCCAATAGGAATTGTCCAGGCTGTCTCTGCCCTGCTGAGCCCGCCAAAAGTCCCATTCTGCAAACGGTGCTGCACCAGTTGAGTAGTCCTCGACTTATGACAGGTTGGGGGTCGCAGCATTAAAAAGGTTGAGAACCACTGCTCTAGTTAATTGTTCTCACTGTCAGGAAGTTTCTCCTTAGTTCTAGGTTGCTTCTCTCCTTGATGAGTTTCCATCCGTTGCTTCTTGTCCTGCCTTCCGGCGCTTTGGAGAAGAGGTGGACCCCCCCACACACCACTCTTCTGGCAGCGCCTCAAAGACTCTATATAAAGGTGAAAGGTTATTTTCTGACTTTTTAGAACTTGCACAGGCAAGGAAGCTAGAGGAATGTATTTTCTCTTTTTATTTCATTTTTCCTTGAAGGTGCCCTGTAATTACCAGGGACACTGAACAGGTTCTCCCAAGAAATTCCTGAGGTGGGGGTGTGGGTAGTGGGACAAGCATACAGAAATCAAAAGGCACAGCTGGGCAGGTTGTGCTGTGCGGTAGAGAAGAACGGCTGAGTTCTGCAGCAATAATCCAAAGTACTAGGACTAGCAGTAGCAGTAGTAATAATATTGAGAATTCAAACAGACAAGCACCTGCCACATAACACCCCAGACTTAACAATTGTCGATAAGAAAGACAAAAAAGTCTGGATAGTGGACGTGGCAGTGCCTGGAGACAGCAGAATAGAAGAGAAAGAACTGGAGAAGATAACAAAATACAAAGACCTACAAATAGAAATAGAAAGAATGTGGCAAAAGCAAGCAAGGGTAGTACCAATAGTAATAGGCTCCTTGGGTGCAATCCCAAAACAACTGGAGCACCACTTGAACACCATTGGCATTGACAAATTCGCTATTAGTCAATTGCAAAAGGCGGCCTTATTAGGAACTGCTTCCATCCCGCGACGATATCTGTAATACCATCAAACATCCACATCTGCCTATCCCAGGTCCTGGGTAAGGACTCGATAGATAGACAAAAACGCCAAATCCAGTCTGAACATCTGGCTGACTGTGCAATGATCCGTAATAATAATAATAATAATAATAATAATAATAATAATAATAATAATAATAGAAGAAGGAAGAAGAAGAAGAAGAAGAAGAAGAAGAAGAAGAAGAAGAAGAAGGAGAAGGAGAAGGAGAAGGAGAAGGAGAAGAAGAAGAAACGCAAAGCTCTAAAGCTACCGCTTGAAAACTACAACTGCACAACCGAGGCAGGGCCCCAAGTGGAAAAAAATCAAACAAAATTTAGCCTGGCATAGAGCCATGTGAGAGAGAAAAAACCACAAGCTTTTTTTTCTGGAAACACAAGTTTCAGCTTTTTTCAATCCAGTTGGTGCTCCCTTGCGCACAATTCAACTATGTGAGAAAACATATTTACTACAGCAATTTGCATGCAATCTAATCATCCCTCTTCTGAAGACCTAATAATAATAATAATAATAATAATAATAATAATAATAAAAAGCTGGAAGGGACCTTGGAGGTCATCTAGTCCAACCCCTGCTCAGGCAGGAAACTCTACACCAGTGATGGCGAACCTTTTAGAGACCGAGTACCCAAACTGCAACCCAAAACCCACTTATGCATCATCGGGTGCCGGGTGGGTGTGGCCCATTGGGTGGGTGTGGCCCATTGGGTGGGCGTGGCTGCGGTGGTAACGGCAGACTGGGTGGGACTAAAAAGTTCAATCAAGCAATTCCAACTTTGCAAGATCTTTTTTTTTGAAATTGACTGATTGAACCTTTTTATTTTTTTGTACACAGCGCGGAGGCCTAAAGCGAAAAGGTTTTATAAAACCCAGCTGAAGGTCTAGGACTGGGGCGATGGCATGCGTGCCCAAAGAGAGAGCTGAGTGCCGCCTCTTGGCACCCATGCTATAGATTCGCCACCACGGTCTATACCATTTCAGACAAATGGCTGTCCAGTCTCTTCTTAGAAACTTCCAGTGTTGGAGCCTTCACCGCTTCTGGAGGAAGGTTGTTCCCCTGGTTAATTGTTCTAACTGTCAGGAAGTTTCTCCTTAGTTCTAGGTTGCTTCTCTCCTTGATCAGTTTCCATCCGTTGCTTCTTGTCCTGCCTTCAGGGGCTTTGGAGAATAGCTTGACTCCCTCTTCTTTGGGGCAGCCCCTGAGATATTGGAAGACTGCTATCATGTCATCTCTAGTCTTTCTCTTCATTAAACTGGATATCCCCAATTCCAGCAACCACAGACATTAAGTGAGTCCCTGCAGTTGTTAAGTAAATAACCTGGTTGTTAAGTTGAATCCAGCTTCCCTTATTGGCTTGCAAAAGGGGATCACATGACCCCCCCCTTGAGACACTGCAACCCTTGTTAAGTACTTGCCAGTTGCCAAGGGTCGCAATTTTGATCGCACGGGAGACGGTACGACGGTCGGTAAGTCTGAAAAAAGTCACTTTTTCCATTGATGTCGCAACTTCAGTCCCTTCAAACGGTCTGAAGGTTTGAAGATCTGGGGGCTGGCTGGGTCACCCCCATGTCAGATCCCAGCCCTCAGGAATCTGGGGGCCCATGGTGCTCAGCGTGAGAAGCAGGTCTTAAGCCCGTGCAAAAAGACCGTGTTCCATCTGTGTTGGCACATGTGAGTCCGTGTGAATTCAGGCTGGAGATTAAGGCATTCGAAGCTAATGTCGAATGGTCACTAAATGAACGGTTAAGCTGAGGACTAGCCGCGCAACTAAATAAATAAATATTACAAATAAATATGCAGGAGCCCCAGACGAAGGCTGGATGGGAAAAGATGGGTCGTCAGCTGGCGGGATAAAGTTCCATGGGGCTTTTTTTTTTTTGCCCCAACTATGCGGTTTGCGCAAAACGCTGCTGAAAAATGTTGCAAGCGTGCATGCCCCGTTTGGATCCTCTCCAAACTCCGATTCAGCCAGGCTGCCGCTCCTCCTCCTGCTCCAAAGCCACAAGCCTTGATCCAACCTGAGGCGTCGTTGTTTCAAAGAGCCGAAGTGTGCAAAGAGGCCCCGGTTTGGATAATAAGGGGAAACTGAGGCAGGCAGCCTCTTGAGGTTTTGCACACACCTGTCAGCGCCAATCTGGGAATCACCAGGGATCACCTCATCAGCTCCTCTGCCGCTTTCAGACACATCGCTCTCCAGGCCTGCCCGTCTTCCTCCCCGGAGCACCGCCGGCCCCCCAACATCTGGACTGGCAGCTGGCCCTGGCCTGCCCCATGGAAGACAGCTCCAATTCCCACGTGTGTGCGTGTGCATGTGTATGTGTGTGTGACCCCTGGCCTGCCCCATTGAAGGCAACTCCAATTCCCACGTGCTACCAAGTTCACCTCCTGCCCCAAAGCAGCAACTGTGTGTGTGTGTGTGGTATATATGTGTTTGTGTGTGTGCATGTGTGGCACCATGGCTTGCCCCATTGAAGGCAGCTCCAATTCCTGTGTGTGTGTGTGTGTGTGTGGCCTGCCCCACTGAAGGCAGCTCCAATTCCTGTGTGTGTGTCTGTGTGTGTGTGTGGCCCCTGGCCTGCCCATTGAAAGCAACTCCAATTCCCACATGCTACCAGGTTCACCTCCTGCCCCAAAGCAGCAACTCTGTGTGTGGTATGTGTGTGTGTGGGGGGACACCATGGCTTGCTCCATTGAAGGCAGCTCCAATTCCTCTGTGTGTGTGTGTGTGTGTGTGTGTGTGTGTGTGTGTGTGTGTGTGTGTGTGTCTGGCCTGCCCCACTGAAGGCAGCTCCAATTCCTGTTTGTGTGTGTGTGTGTGTGTGTGTGTGTGTGTGTGTGTGTGTGTCTGGCCTGCCCCACTGAAGGCAGTTCCAATTCGTGTGTGTCCCTGGCATGCCCCATTGAAGGTAGCTCCAATTCCTGTGCGGGTCTGTGTCTGTTTGCGTGTGTGTGTCTGTGTCTGGCCTGCCCCATTGAAGGCAGCTCCAATTCCTCTGTGTGTGTGTGTGTGTGTGTGTCCCTGGCCTGCCCCCTTGAAAGCAGCTCTCTTCATCTCCGGCCAGGGAGACGGGCCTGCTGGCTCGGGGTTCGGAGCGGACTCATCCTTGGGATGGGAGACCACCAGGAAATCCCCACCGCGAGCCGGGCAAGCCCCCAAAGGCCCCCTGGGCCACCCGCAGCCGGGAAAGGCGCACGTGGGTTGGGGATTCCAGGGAATCCCCTTGGGAAAGCCGGCATCCTTGGCCACCCCCGAGGCTCAGCCCGCCCAGCCTCTGCCCTCCCCCTCCCCACCCACTCACCCACCCACATGGCCCGGCCGCCGCCTTCCCCAAGCGGGCGCCCGCGGGCGCGCCTCTGCAGCCGCCTCGGGGGACTCACTCACTCACCTGCCGGGCTGAATCGGAAGGCGCGCAGGAAGGCCAGGCAGTCGCCCAGGCCGGCGCCCAGGGCGAAGGAGCCCTGGAAGGGGCAGCGGCGGAAGAAGAGCTCGAAGGCGGCCGGCTGGCGGTGCCGCCCGGCCCGCCAGTAGCCGTAGGCCATGGTGAACTGGTAGAGGTCGGTCAGCAGCGCCAGCGAGCCCCGCGGAGCCTCCATGACCGGCTCGCCCGACCGCGCCGCTCGCTCTGAGCCCGGCCGCCGCTGCACGCGGGGACCCAGGCCGGGAAGCCCCGCCCCTCCCCGACGCCCCGCCCCTCCGCGCCTGCCCGCAGGAGGGGAAACCCCGCCTCCCTGCCTTCACTTGGAGACCGGGCTTGGAGCCTTTGCTGATCCGGGACTGTCAGCCAGGCGCCCGCGGGCGATCCCAGCTCGGCCCGGGAACGTCTAGGGCAGGGCTCTTCCACCTTGGCCCTTTGATGACTTGGGGACTTCAACTCCCAGAATTCCTCAGCCAGGCACGCTGGCTGAGGAATTCTGGGAGTTGAAGTCCCCAAGTCATCAAAGGGCCAAGGTGGAAGACCCCTGTCTTCAAAACATCCTGGCTGAGGAATTCTGGGAATTGAAGTCCACAAGTCACAAACGGGCCAGGTTTGAAGACCCATATCTTAAAACATCCTGGCTGAGGAATTCTGGAAGTCCCCAAGTCATCAAAGGGCCAAGGTGGAAGACCCCTGTCTTCAAACATCCTGGCTGAGGAATTCTGGGAATTGAAGTCCACAAGTCACAAACGGGCCAGGTTTGAAGACCCATATCTTAAAGCATCCTGGCTGAGGAATTCTGGGAGTTGAAGTCCCCAAGTCATCAAAGGGCCAAGGTGGAAGACCCATATCTTTAAGCATCCTGGCTGAGGAATTCTAGGAGTTGAAGTCCACTCCACTTAAAGTTTATATCATAGCATAGCTGGCTGAGGAATTCTGGGAGTTGAAGTCCCCAAATCATCAAAAGGCCAAGTTTGAAGACTCCTGTCTGGGAGTTGAAGTCCACGAGTCATGAAAGAGCCAAGATTGCCTACCCCTGACCTAGTGGCTCCCCAGGTGCTGATCCTGGATGGGGGTGGGGGTTGTCAAGCTCCTTCTGTTGCCCATCAGCTGCCTTCAGGGGTTCTTAATTCCTTTTTTAAATATACTGTACTTTCATTTTTAATTTGCAAGCCCTCCTGAGTGGCTGTGGAATTGGCCAGCTGTTTTTTTTGGGGGGGGGGGAGGCACTCTGAAGCCAGACTTTTCGATAACTTTTTAACGTTGAATCTTAACTATCCTTACCTCTAGTTTCCGTTTTTGTATTATAATTATTTTACATTTTATTTGTACATCGTCCAGAATCCCTTTGTGAGGGAGATGGGACATTTCTAAAAGAGGTATTGATTTATGATCAGACTAAGACAGATAAGATTGGAAATAGAAATCATAAATAGCACAAAGCAGAATGAACGGAAATAATAAGTCAGCTCTACATGATTTTGTACTTAAACCATAGTATTTAGGGGCAGATCGTCTACTTTTTAGGGGTTTTTTTTGATTACCTGTTCAGTCTAATTGTTATCTCATTCCTCTTGTGATTACCTTTTGGGCTTGGTGGCCTAGTATGGGGGGCGGGGGGGGGGAAGAGAAGGATTGTTCCGTGTGAATGGTAGGCACTCAACACAACATCTGCACAAGGACAAGCCACTCACACAAAATGGAGCTTCACACACAAGCACATACACACTCCGCCATTGGTGCAGCCCAGTACAGCAGGGGTCCCCAACCGGTACAGACTGGTACCAGGCCGCGACATGCCAGCAACCGGTCTGCACAAACAAGCAAAGCCCCATCAGCGGGATGCAGGCAGCACACAAAACCATGCACACTCCGGTCCGTGGAAAACCCTCTCTCCACAGAACCGGTGGTACACTATTGGCCTGCAGCCCGTAGATTGGGGACCCCTGCTTTATGTGGGGGCATTATTACGTGGGCATTTCCTGGGGTGTGGACTTCAACTCCCAGAATTCCACAGCCAGCATGACCACGGATGAGAGCTGAAGTCCACCCTCCAGGAAATGCCCAGGGGTGGGAATCACTGCTCTGTAATGGGGAAGAAAATTCTCTTTTTAGTGAGATAAAAGCGCAGCCACAATGTCTGTGCCTTTTTACAACCAGAAATCCTAGTAGGAAAATCCACCACAGCTAAGTTCTCCACTTACAACCATTCATTTAGGGAGGGTTTGAAGTGAGAAAGCACTGGGAGGGGGAGGAAAAGTGATTTAAAACCATTTTCCACCCTTAACGACCGTTGCAGCCTCCCCTTGATCATGTGATCAAAATCCACACACTTGGCAACTGACTCATATTTATGACAGCCGCCATGTCCCAGGGTGTGTGTGTGTCGTGTGTGATTCCCCATTTGCGGTCTTCCGACAAGCAAAAGTCAATGGGGAAGCCAGACAATCATATTACTAACTTAACCACCGTGTTTCACTTAACAAACGGTGGCAAGGGAAGACATAAAATGGGGCAAAACTCACTTAACAAGTGTCTTATTTTTCACACAGGAAATTTGGGCTGTTGCGGTCGTTTAAGTCAAAGACCATCTGGACTTAATTTCTCTCTCAACTCCTTTTTCAGGGACAAGGTTGGGTGTCAAGGCATTGATTTAACAGCTAAGCAGCTTGTGTAATGTAAGATGTTAAGATGTAATGTAATGATGGGAATAACTCAGCAGGGTCTGTGTCTCTTGAAGGGCCATCAGGGTCTGTGTCCCTTTAGGAGCCATTGTATAAAGGGAAGGCTCTGCTGATGTGTTCTCTCTCTTCCGTTTCCTGCTATAACTGTGGTTTGTTGGATCCTGCTGTACTAGTGCGTGTATGTATTTTGTTCCTGGTGTATGCTATTGTAAATAGTGTAAGATAAACCACGATTTGATACAAACCACTTTTTACTGTGTTTACCCGAGTTATCTCAGTGCAATAAGACTGCGCACACTCTGACAGTGGGTCTTTTCTCCTACGGGGGAGCAACGGAGCAATTTAAACACGGCGTCCAAAATGAGTGACCTCCGGAAGCAATAATTTACATCCCAGGTGCCGCTGATGTGGCTTCCTGCAGCTGAAACGTCAAAATACCGGATTTCTTAGGCCACAGTGAAAGAGAAGCTCCCGGCATTGCTCTCCAACTCTTAACCATTTATTAGCTTTAGAAAGGGTAAAAGGTCTGCCGTTAGATCTTGTTGAAAGCAGCTATGTCAACACTCTGCACCTGGAAGACAAAAATAAAATAAAAAATAATAAAAGCCGTGAGACAGATTGGGTGGGGAGACCTACCGATTCCCAGGCCTGGCTCTGTCATTTCATCCAGGCATCGGGAAGTTTGTGTCAAAGGGACTTGGGAAATGGATGCCTAAAAGGGACTTTAACCAGGATCTGCAAGGTCAAAACACTGCACATTTTGAGATTTTTCTTTCCCACATTCTCATGCTCCATTTTCTTGATCCTTTGGAAAACAGTTTGTCTGGAATGGTATAAAGCTCTCCTGCTTGCACAGGGGGTTGGACTAGAAGACCTCCAGGGTCCCTTCTGACTGTTATTCTACGATTCTGCAAGGGTCTTCTGCTTGAGCAGGGGGTTGGACTAGAACAGGGCTTTTCAACCAGTGGTACGGGTACCACCTGTGGTACATGGGCACCTGGCAGGTAGTACGCGACCATCCTAGAAAAGTAGCATGGGAGGGGAATCAGCCGAACCGGTGGTAGCACTGCACAAGCCTGAGCAAGAGATGGCTGGAGCTGCAGGGTTGCCAGGGCTCAGTGGAAGCGCCAGGATCACACTTTCCAGCTGATCGGCGCTTCTTCAGAGCTATCAGGGCAGAGCGGAAGCACCAGGATCAGCGCCAGGCTCCAGCTGGAGCTCGGCGCTGATCTTGGCGCTTCTACTGAGCCCAGAAGAAACGCCGATCAGCTGGAATGTTGCAGCATCTCCAGGGTCTTGTGATTTACATTCAGATGCTTGGCAACTGATTCATATTTATGACGGTCACAGTGTCCCACGGTCATGTGAAGTGACCAAAACCTGCTGCAACCACCCAGCAGACGGGGGGGGGGGAATAAAAACCAAACACCCCCACCCCACGTCCGCTGCCAATCCTCAAAAGAAATGCTCACAACAATGGAAACCTCAGACAGGAGGAAGAGCGCGGCCGGGCGGGCAGGCAGGTGTCTTGCTCGGTGGTGGCTTGGGGGGCACTTTTTTCAGTGCCATTGTAACTTTGAACAGTCACTAAGCGAAAGGTTGTAAGTTGAGGACTACCTGTACTTTATCACTTTTTTCCTTTTTTTTTGGTCATCAAGTTTTTGACCCCTTGCTAGGCGACTGGTGGTCCTCGGATGTTGCCATATCCCAAAAGTGGTACAATGGGTGAAAAGGTTGAAAAGCCCTGGACTAGATGACCTCCAAGGTCCCTTCCAGCTCTCTTAATCTGTAAGGGTTTCCTGTACGAGCAGGGGGTTGGACTAGATGACCTCCAAGGTCCCTCCCAGCTCTCATCATTCTGTTGTTTCCATGAATGGCAAAAGGGACAGATGCGCAGACCTTCCCAGCCTTGAATGCTAAGGTTAAACATGTTCTGATTTTCCTCTTCCTGGAAATCAGCTCGTGAGTTTCGCGTTCCTTTGCCTTTAATCCCCTCCCCACCCCTTTGTCTTCTGTCAGGGTCTCCTGCTTGAGCAGGGGGTTGGACTAGAGGACCTCGGCGGTCCCTTCCAACTCTTGTTATTCCAGTATCCTTATCTTTACTAAGCAGAACGAGCAGTGTAAGAACGACTGACTTCTGATTCCGTTCTCCATTCCTGAAATGTCACCAGGCCTAAATGAAATATTAACCGTGGTTTAATGCTACTGAAAATCCATGAAGCATTACTGGAGGACTTCATCCTCCAGGGCACCGGGGGGGGGGGAGAGAGGGATTATCTGGGGCAAAACTAAGACGCTTTGACTTTCTGCCTACCCAAACCTTCATTTTGACGGAAGAAATTACTCGGGCGAGTAACAAAATGTCTCCAGTTTTAATCAACTTTTCTCCAGTTGGCAGGATTTTAATCTTGTAAAGATACTTTTGGCCCGGTGGACTGAATCTTCATTTGCATCTTCAAAATTAAAAGCAAGCCACGCAAGCCAGAGAGAGACAAGAGCAACTGGGCCAGTTGTGACCCAGGGGCCGTAAAATGCCCAGGTCGGTGATAGTGGCAACATGGCTGCTGTCCTAAGGGGGAAAAAGATTACTGACCTCCGATCTACATATTATCAGAGGTAACTTGAGAGAACTGCAAGGGAATGTTAAGCGTAAGCCCTCTAACTCCAGTTATTCCCAGATTTAATAATACTACTAATAATGATGATGTTGGAAGGTACCTTGGAGGTAGTAGTAATAGTAATAGTAGTAAAGTTGGAAGGGACCTTGGAGGTCATCTAGTCCAACCCCCTGCTCGGGCAGGAAACCCTAAACCATTTCAGACAAATGGCTGTCCAGTCTCTTCTTAAAAACTTCCAGTGTTGGAGCATTTACTGCTTCTGGAGGCAAGCTGTTCCAATGATTAATTGTTCTCACTGTCAGGAAGTTTATCCTTAGTTCTAGGTTGCTTCTCTCCTTGATTAGTTTCCACCCGTTGCTTCTTGTCCTGCCTTCAGGTGCTTTGGAAAATAGCTTAATTCCCTCTTCTTTATGGCAGCCTCTGAGATATTGGAATACTGCTATCATGTCCCCCCTTGTCCTTCTCTTCATTAAACTAGACATACCCAATTCTAGCAACCGTTCCTTATATGTTTTAGCCTCCAGTCCCCTAATCATCTTTGTTGCTCTTCTCTGTACTCTTTCTAGAGTCTCAACATCTTTTTTACATCATGGTGACCAAAACTGGATGCAGTATTCCAAGTGTGGCCTTACCAAAGCATTGAAGAGTGGTATTAATACTTCACGTGATCTTGATTCTATCCCTCTGTTAATGCAGCCTAGCACTGTGTTGGCCTTTTTGGCAGCTGCAGCACACTGCTGGATCATATTTAAGTGATTGTCTACTAGGACTCCGAGGTCCCTCTCACAGTTACTACTATTGAGCATGGTCCCACCTATGCTGTACTTGTGCATTTGGTTTTTCTTGCCTAAATGTAGAACCTTGCTTTTTTCACCATTGAATTTCATTTTGTTAGTTAGTGCCCAGTGTTCAAGTCTTTGGAGAATAGCTTGACTCCCTCTTCTTTGGGGCAGCCCCTGAGAGATTGGAAGACTGCTATCCTGTCCCTCGCCCCCCGTCCTTGTCTTCGTTAAACTAGATCAGGGGTAGGCAACCTTGGCTCTTTTAAGACTCGTGGACTTCAACTCCCAGAATTCCTGAGCCAGCCTGGCTCAGCTTGGAAACCTCTCCCTTTCCCCTCAGCCTGGCTGGCTCAGGAATTCTGGGAGTTGAAGTCCACGAGTCATAAAAGAGCCAAGGTTGCCTACCTCTGGACTAGACATACCCAATTCCAGCAACCGTTCCTTATATGTTTTAGCCTCCAGTCCCCTAATCATCTTTGTTGCTCTTCTCTGTACTCTTTCTAGAGTCTCAACATCTTTTTTACATCATGGTGACCAAAACTGGATGCCGCATTCCAAGTGTGGCCTTACCAAGGCATTGTAAAGTGGTATTAATACTTCACGTGATCATGATTCTATCCCTCTGTTAATGCAGCCCAGCACTGTGTTGGCTTTTTTGGCAGCTGCAGCACACGGCTGGCTCCTATTTAAGGGATTTGATTTATAACCTGATTTATAACTCGAGGCTTTTCACCAGTGTTGGCAGAACTTCAAGGGGGCCCGCCCAGCGTCGGTCACCCCAGAAAACTTACATAATCTTCAAATTTGGTAATCTCCTCTTCCAGGATATCTGTTCCGACTTTGTCATCCTCCACCACACACTGGATCTGGAGTTTCTTGATGCCGTAGCCCACCGGGACCAGCTTGGAGGCGCCCCAGACGAGGCCATCCATCTGAACAGACCGGACACATTCCTCCATTTTGGCCATGTCTGTTTCGTCGTCCCACTGGAAATGAGGAGGGGGGGAGAAGAAGAGAGTGAGAAAGATGGACCTCAAACTCACAGCCAGCAAAGGGGACAAAGCAATGCAGCTTTGTATGCAGAAATAAAAACTAACTAACTAAATAAAAACTAACCCACAAAACTGAGAAAAGAATGGCTTCTCCAAAGGATATTAATTGTCTAACCCAGCACCAATTTAATAATTGCTCAAAATTACAGTCCTCTTTCAGGCACAACAAACCAAGAGACAGGATAGGGTTCAAAAGCAACTGTGGATTTATTGATTCCGTGAAGTCTATATAAGAATCTTGCTCTTTTCCCCTTTTCTTTACTGTTTTTACCTATATTAATAAGTAATAGGGAACTGAAAGTAGCTGATGGACACGGGTTCCAATGTACACGAGCACGTGGAAAGTTATGTTCAGCAGAGGGTCAGCAGAAAACCAGCAGAAAGCGGAAGATTGCTAACTATCTGTCTGCGGTTTTAGGATGGGAAAGGGTATAAGACAGTGGTGGCGAACCTATGGCACGCGTGTCAGAGGCGGCACTTAGAGCCCTCTCTGTGGGCACGCGTGCCTTCGCCCCAGCCCTGTCTCCCCCCATGGCCCCCTCCTCACCAGCAGCCCCCCCCCCAGAAAAGAGTCGCCCCCGGGTGCAGCCTGCGCAGAGTAGTGCAGCCAAGGACATGGCAGCCAAGTAGCGGGGAGAAGACTCTGCCCTTGCGCTTCGTCATGAGCAGATGATAATGCAGGGCGTGGGTAGAGGGTGCGGCCACCATGGCACTGCCTAGGTGATCTGATGCAGCGGGCCATGGAGGTGGGTGGCCCTGCAGGCAGGTGGGACAGGGGGTGGCAGGCAGGGTGGGGGCGGGGTGGTTTTTGGGCACTCGGTCTCTAAAAGGTTCGCCATCACTGGTGTAAGAGATTGGGACCGGGGCTGATTGATTTGCCACTGGCCTACAGCTGTCCTTGGTGGACTTGCTATGTCACTGGACCTCACTGCAATGAGTTTTTAACGCAAGTGATCTTTATGCGCCTGTTCCACATTACTGCTGAAATAAATCTCTGAATCTTACAGTAAGAAGTATTGTTTTGTGTTGCTGTCTCTTGTCTTTTTCATTGGGTTTTTCCATGACAAGTGCGATGCCCACATAGTCACCTCACTTGGCCCATCCAAGTGAGGTGATTATGTCACCACGTTGTTTATTGAGCACTTGTTTGGGAAAATGGAAAATCAATAAAATATTCATTTGTATATATATAAAAAAGACTGCAGATGGTTGCCATGAGTGGAGATCGCGATGGCCCCAATTTTGAGCCTCAGTTGCCGTCTCCCTTTATTCAACGCCGTTGTGGTTTCGGACACTCGCTGAACCAACAGTTGTAAGTCAAGGACTGCCTGGGAAATGCTGCGGTTTGTGTTTTTTTAATTAGAAAAGGTGCTCAGAGATTTGGGGGGGGGAGGCTAACATGGCTCCCTCCCTACGGTGACCAGGGCACTGAAGGAGCAAAGACGGAATCTGGATCTTAGTTAAACTGCAAGAGCAAGCAAACATTAAACCTTGTGCGCGAATCCTTTCTAGCAACGTGAATATCTGCAACTGGTGTGTGTGTGTGTGCGCACACATGTAGCCTAGCTCATTTAGTTTGCCATCGCCAAGGAAAGTCAGGCAACTTTCCTTATCAGGCAACCTCAGTCCCACAACCGACACCCAGAAATGTTTATGGAGAGTCTCCGCCATTGTCCCAAAGGTGCTTTTTTCAAGAGGCAACTGTTTTTTTTTTGGAAGACGTTTCACTTCCCATCCAAGAAGCTTCCTCACCTCTGACTGGGTGGCGGGGGGAAACGGAAGGATTTATACTCCTTGCAGAGAGCTGGGTATTTATTTGCCTTCTTTTAGAGAGTCCCTGAGAGTCCCCTCCATCTAGTCAATCTTCAAGTGGCTTCAATGGCCCTCTAAAAGAAGGCAAATGACCGGCTGTCTGCAAGGAGCATAAATCCTTCCCTTCCCCACCATCCGGTCAGAGCTGAAGAAGCTCCTTGGATGAGATGAGCAGCGAAAGGTCATCAAAGAAAAACAAAGAAAGTCCAGTGGCCTCCTGGAAAAAGCATCTTTGGGAGAAGGATGAAAGAGGAAAAGGAAGAGGAGGAGGAAGACAGGAGGGAAAGAAGGAGAAGGATAGGAGAGAGACAGAGAAAGAACAAAAGAAAGAAAGAAAAAAGAAAGAGAAAGAGAGAAAGAAAGAAAGAAAGAAAGAAAGAAAGAAAGAGGAAGGAAGGAAAGAGAAAAAAGAAAGAAAGAAAAAGAAAAGAAGAAAGAAAGAAAGGAGAGAAAGAAGGAATGAAGGAAGGAAAAAAAGAAAGAAAGAAAGAAAGAAAGAAAGAGGAAGGAAGGAAATAGAAGGAAGGAAAGAAAGAAAGAAAGAAAGAAAGAGAGAAAGAAGGAATGAAGGAAGGAAAGAGAAAGATAAGAAAGAAAGAAAAAAAGAAGGAAGGAAGGAAGGAAGGAAGGAAGGAAGGAAGGAAGGAAGGAAGGAAGGAAGGAAGGAAGGAAGGAAAGAAAGAAAGAAAGAAAGAGTCTGCAAGGAGTATAAATCCTTCCCTTCCCCACCATCCAGTCAGAGCTGAAGAAGCTTCTGTGGATGAGAAGCAAAACATCTTCAAAGAAAAACAAGAAAATCCAGTTGCCTCCTGGGGGAAAAAATACACTTTTGGGACACCCAGAAATCTCTTTCAGCAATCCTACCCTGTACTTCAAACCACCCTACATCGACTCTTCAGGGCAGGAAAGCAGATGAAAAACTCGGAAGACCGAATTCTGGGCCGACCCAGAATCCACCTGGCGTGGTCTGCTCAAGGAGGAACATGGGAGGGGGAAGCGCGGGCCGGCTTTGCCAAGGGGATGGGGAAGGCCAACCAGGCCTGCAGCCCAAGAGTCCCCCACTTACCGGCTTGACATCCAGAAGGATGGAGGACTTGGCAATCAGGCCCGGCTTCTTCGACTTCTTCTCTGCGTACTGCTTTAGCCGCTCTTCCCGAAGGCGGGCAGCTTCCTGGTCTTCCTCTTCGTCATCGCTGCCAAACAGGTCGATCTCATCGTCTTCCTCGCTGGCGGGGGCGGCGGCACCCGCCGGGGATTCTTCTTTGATGGCAGGTGAGGCTGCAGGGAGTACCACCTTCTTGCAGGGCAGGGTCAGGGGCTCCACTTTCTTCATGGGAGTGACGTGCTTTGTGGAGAAAAGGAGAAGGTGAGTCTCAGCCTAAAAACCCTTCCCCAAGGGCGGGGGTCGGCAACCTTAAACACTCAAAAGAGCCACTTGGACCCATTTCCCACAGAAAACACTGGGAGCCCCCTCTCCTCCCTCTCTCTTCGATCTTCTGCTCACTTGGCAAGCTGGCTTCACGCTGTTCTCCGACAAGCTGGCTCTCTCCTGTCCTTGGTCTGCCAGTCCTCTTCCCCCACTAAGTAAGTAAAAGTGTGTGTGTGTGTGTGTGTGTGTGTGTGTGTGTGTGTGTGTGTGAGAGAGAGAGAGAGAGAGAGAGAGAGAGAGGTTTTCTGCTGCTTCCTGCTGAGACGCAGCAAAGGAAGGAGCCCCGCCCAATAAGCTTGTCAGCTTGTTGGAGAACAGTGTGAGGCAGAAGATCAGGGGCAGAGAGAGAGAGAGATGCTTTCTGCTGCGACGCACCAAAGGCAGGAGCCCAGCCCAATAAGCTTGTCAGCTTGTTGGAGAACAGCGTGAGGCAGAAAATCAGAGAGAGAGAGGGAGAGAGAGAGAGAGAAGGGAAGCGCAAGTGCCTCTCTCTGTCTCTGTCTCTGTGCCAATGGAAGAGGAGGATTGGAAGCCTCAGTAGAAGACTCAAAGAGCCATATGCGGTTCCGGAGCTGTGGGTTGCCGAACCGTGCCCAAGGGGAAGGGATGCCTCGGGGCTTCAGAAAGGAGGGGAGTGGAAAGAAGGGCTGGCTTTATCCACGCCAGTGAGCATTGTCAGGTCCCTCTCAGAAGGCTGCCCTCAGAAAGGGAAGGGGGAGAATGTGGATTGAGGATGTTTCTGCTTTCGCTCGCTTTGATGTATTTGCAGGGGAAATGGGGAGGAGGAGAAGAAGGAGAAGGAGGAGGAGGAAAGCCCACAGGGCCATCTGGTTATATCTGTCAGCAAGCAGAGGCAAGGTGTCAGAGAATTGCCGGTTATTTATCACCTGACAGACTAGGGCAGACATGTCAAACACAAGGGGGGGGGCGCATGTGGCCCGCGAAGTGGTTTCATGTGGCCCATGAAGCCATTCCGGGAGCCAATATACAATTTTGTGGTGGCCATCTATGCTGAAACGCATTAAGTCTTAGCTCCACAAGGCCGTCTAGAAACAGCGAGGAACCAGCCCTTGCTGTGTCAGCCTCGCCCCCGGGTGCATGCTGGGGAGGTGTCACCTTTTGTGAGGAATGAAGAAATGGACCATGCCTTGGCACTTGCCCTGGTCCCACCCCCTTCTGCCAGAGACCCTCAGATCTGTACCACTCCTGTCCAGGCCCCCACAGGCACCCTTGACGCGAACGATGTACAGCTGGCCACGCCCACCCAGTAGGCCACAACCAACCGCCCCCCCCCCCGAGGGCAGCCACAATGCTGATGCGGCCCTCAATGAAATTGAATTTGACACCCCTGGACTAGGGAAATGGGGTGGGCTGACAGGATGGGACTTTTAGCTTGACGCTTTTGCCTGGGAACTTCAGATTCGGCCTTTTCTCTCTGCCATCACTTTCTTTCAGTAAAAGGTTTCCTTTGAAACAATGGTTGTTTTCCCGAGTTGTGCTTTCCTGAGGGAACAGCTGGGACAAGACCTTGTCCCCAACCCTCAGCCTGTGGACCGATAACGGACCACAGCATGCCAGCAACTGGTCCACACAAACAAGCAAAAGCCCCATCCATGAGAAACGAGTAGCACATCCGTTGCACATCCGTCCTGCCTTCAGGCGCTTTGGAGAATAGCTTGACTTCCTCTTCTTTGGGGCAGCCCCTGAGATACTGGAAGGCTGCTATCCTGTCACCCCTCATCCTTCTCTTCGTTAAACTAGACATCCCCAATTCCAGCAACCGTTCCTTATATGTTTTAGCTTCCAGTCCCCTGATCATCTTTGTTGCTCTTCTCTGCACTCTTTCTAGAATCTCAACCTCTTTTTTTACATCGTTGTGACCAAAAGTGGATGCAGGATTCCAAGTGGGGCCTTACCCAGGCCTTGTAAAGCGGTATTAACACTTCACGTGATGTCGATGGACCTTGGCTTTGAAAAAGCATGTGCAATCTACAAACGAGCGAAGCAGCGGACACGCATATGACCTTTTTTTGGGGGGGGGGAGTTGGCAAGTTTTACCTGTGTTGGTGGAGAAGGGGAAAGATGATGGGAAGCTGATGCCCTTTCCAGCACGCTCAGACGGCATTCCAGTTTGGAGATCGCCACTTGGAGGTTTGTGACCACTGAAAAAGGAGGAAGAAGAAAAAAGGCGATTAAAAGAAAAGGACGCCACGCTAAGGTCTTGACGTGTAGTTATTTTATCAGCATCAGCTCCCATCGAATGTCGAAGGAAGCAGCGCCCAGACTTTGTGGACGTGAGAAAGGAAAACGGTTTCCCCAGTCAAGGCCCAGCCACTCACCGCTACGCAGCTGTTGGTTTTCTGCCTCCAAGTTGGCGATCCTGGTGGCCACCTCGCTTTGGTCTCCGGCTGGTCCTGCTGGGGAGGGCCCGCTGGCACACTGCGAGAGACAGCCGGGGCAAAGGGTGGTGAGGCCAGGCCAACTGCTGACCTCGACCAGACCCCCGGACAACAAAGCCAAGCTGTAGCCACAAGAGGGAGATGGACAGAGGAGACTTCCAGAAAGCAACTGGGCACCAGTAAGAGCACAAGAGCCGGCAGCTTTAAGGTTTGAGAAGGGAAGGGGAGAGGAGATGCGTGAAGGCCCAGGATGTGTTTCCTTGTTTTCTTAGAAAGTATTTATGTAAGAGGTACAATGCAGACTAAGATAATTCAAGTTGCAGTGCTTGGTGCTCTCTGAGCTTGGTTGTTTTCTTGCAGATGTTTCATGACCCAACTAGGTAACATCATCAGTGTGCTTCTTTCCTTCCTTCCTTTCTTCTCATCCATCGTCTTCCTTCCTTCCTTCCCTTCCTTTCCCCCATCCATCTGCTTCCTTCCTTCCTTTCCTCCCATCTGCTTCCTTCCTTCCTTCCCTTCCTTTCCTCCCATCCATCGTTCCTTCACATCCATCTGCTTCCTTCCTTCCCTTTCCCCATCCATCTTCTTCCTTCCTTCCTTCCCATCCATCTGCTTCCTTCCTTTCTTTCCTTTCCTCCCATCCATCTTCTTCCTTCCTTCCTTCCCTCCCATCCACTTCCTTCCTTCCCTTCCTTCCCTCCCATCCATCTTCTTCCTTCCTTCCCATCCATTTACTTCCTTCCTTCCTTCCCTCCCATCTTCCTTCCTTCCCATCCATCTTCTTCCTTCCTTCCTTCCCTTCCTTTCCTCCCATCCATCTTCTTCCTTCCTTCCTCCTTTCCTCCCTTCTTCCTTCCTTTCCTCCCATCCATCTTCTTCCTTCCTTCCTTCCCTCCCATCCATCTTCTTCCTTCCTTCCCATCCATTTACTTCCTTCCTTCCTTCCCTCCCATCTTCCTTCCTTCCCATCCATCTTCTTCCTTCCTTCCTTCCTTCCTTCCTTCCTTCCTTCCTTCCTTCCTTCCTTCCTTCCTTTCCTCCCATCCATCTTCTTCCTGCCTCCCTCCCTCCCTCCCTCCCTTCCTTCCTTCCTTCCTTTCCTCCCATCCATCTTCTTCCTGCCTCCCTCCCTTCCTTTCCTGAGGAATTCTAGGAGGAAGTCCACAAGTCATAAAAGGACCAAGTTTGAAGACCTCTGAGCTATAGAGTTCAATGCAATTTTGGCTTGATTCCCCCCCCCCAATAAACCGAAGGATTCTCTTCTCCTGCATAGTGCAACAGCAAATTGTGAAACCCACAAAAGATTAAAAGGGATGGGGAGGGGGGGAGAGAAATAAAGCATACAAGGTATTAGCAGCACAAACTCTTGAGTGAATCGGAACCCTCTCTTGCATTGTGCCATCATAATAATAATAATGATGATGATGTTGGAAGGGACGTTGGAGGTCATCTAGCCAAACCCCCTGCTCAGGCAGGAAACCTATCTGGGAAGAGATTTCTGCCAAGCAACAGGTATTTTTTTCATTGAGAAAAATCTACATGGTTGCTAAACATCGATTATTATTTGATGACCTATAATCAATTTGTCAATCGGGTACAGGTTATCCTTAACTTACAACCATTCATTTGACATTACCGTCGCACTGAGAAAAGTAACTTAGGACCACTTTTTACATTTGCGACCGTGGCAGCATCCCGTTGGTCCCGTGATCAAACTTCAGACAGCTGACAACCGACTCATATTTAAGTATAGGGTATCACTATTATAAGCATCCGATGCTTAGGAGGCATGGATGTCTCTAAATGAAGTGAGGAATGACTTTACAGCTTAAAGAAGCCAAAATGCTGATTAGAATAGGATAGAGCTGGAAGGGACCTTGGAGATCTTCTAGCCGGTCCCCCTGCTCAAGCAGGAGGACCTATACCAGGGGTAGGCCACCTTGGCTCTTTTACGACTTGTGGACTTCAACTCCCAGAATTCCTGAGCCAGCCATGCTGAGGGGAAAGGGAGAGGTTTCCAAGCTGAGCCATGCTGGCTCAGGAATTCTGGGAGTTGAAGTCCACGAGTCATGAGGGGCCATAGTTCCCCATGCTGGCTCAGGAATTCTGGGAGTTGAAGTCGACCAGTCATGAGGGGCCATAGTTCCCCATGCTGGCTCAGGAATTCTGGGAGTTGAAGTCCACGAGTCATGAAGGGGCCATAATTCCCCCATGCTGGCTCAGGAATTCTGGGAGTTGAAGTCCAGATACACCAAGGTTGGGAAGCACTACCTCAAGACTGTATTTTTTTTCTTCCTAAGAACAGCAAATTCTTGCCTCAAGAAACAAATATGCTTGGTTAACACAGATTGCCAGTAGAATAAAACTTTCTGGGTATAGGCCAGGGGTAGGCAACCTTGGCTCTTTTAGTGGACTTCAACTCCCAGAATTCCTGAGCCAGCCACGCTGAGGGGAAAGGGAGAGGTTTCCAAGCTGAGCCGTGTTGGCTCAGGAATTCTGGGAGTTGAAGTCCACCAGTCATGAAGGGACCATATTTTCCTCACGCTGGCTCAGGAATTCTGGGAGTTGAAGTCCACCAATCATAAAAGAGCCAAGCTTGCCTACCCCTGGCCTAGACCATCTCAGACAGGTGATTGATCCTCTCCAGAAGGATGGCTGAAGGTCAGGGATTCAAGAGAGGAAATTTAGAAGCACAAACGAACAGAAATAGACAATGGACAGAACTTTCCAAGCAACACGAGAAAGAGGCATGCAGGACGCCCGTGTCTTCCATGCCGGCTGGGACAGACAGATGGAAGGTGATCCCCTTCCTTCCCACCTGCCCCACCAGCGACTTACGGCCCTGGGACCCGGGTGCTTCTTGGGCTGAACAGGAGCAGCTTCCTGTGGTTTTTGCAAAACTGTCTTCAGCTGCAAAAGGGCAAGACATTTATTCCCCCCCCCCCTTGGTAAAATAATACCATTGCAGTTGAGATTCATTCATGCAGCGCAGTGGGAGGTCAGCGTAGCAGAAGGCCACATGCAGGTATTAACGGATTAAAATAAAATACTTTCCCAAATGCTAACATGCTGAGGTGATAAGAGTCACCAGGTGCACGATCCAGGGAGCAGCTTAAGGCTCAAAGCAGTGTCTTTTTGAACCAGAAAATGCTTGATATTTAGTAAAGTTGGAAGGGACCTTGCAGGTCATCTAGTCCAACCCCCTGCTCAGGGAGAAAACCCTATATCATTTCGGACAAATGGCTGTCCAGTCTCTTCTTAAAAGCTTCCAGTGTTGGAGCATTCACAGCTTCTGGAGGCAGGTTGTTCCACTGGTTAATTGTTCTAACTGTCAGGAAGTTTCTCCTTAGTTCTAGGTTGCTTCTCTTCTTGATGAGTTTCCATCCATTGCTTCTTGTCCTGCCTTCAGGTGCTTTGGAAAATAGCTTGACTCCCTCTTCTTTGGGGCAGCCCCTGAGATATTGGAATACTGCTATCATGTCCCCCCTTGTCCTTCTCTTCATTAAACTAGACATACCCAATTCCAGCAGCTCGTTCTTTGTATGTTTTAGCCTCCAGTCCCTTAATCATCTTTGTTGCTCTTCTCTGCCCTCTTTCTAGAGTCTCAACATCTTTTTTACATCGCGGTGACCAAAACTGGATGCCGTATTCCAAGTGTGGCCTTACCAAGGCCTTGTAAAGTGGTATTAACACTTCACGTGATCTTGAGTCTATCCCTCTGTTAATGCAGCCTAGCACTGTGTTGTGGTTTTTAAGAAAGAGACTGGACAGCCATTTATCTGAAATGGTATAGGGTTTCCTGCCTGAGCAGGGGGTTGGACTAGAAGACCTCCAAGGTCCCTTTCCAGCATTATTCTATTCTTCTTTGAGAGCTTTTGCATTTAAAACAGCAAAATAAAATGAGGAACAAGAACCTGAGGATAATTAGAGCTTTTAACAAAGGGGGGATAATTAGAGCTTTTAACAAAGGGGGGGGTGTATTCCCGTCCTCTGTTTTAAAACAGACCAGGACAGCACAATCAAGAAGAGGGTTTTGTGGGAGGCTATAGATATAACCCATCCTGGTTATCAGGGATGCTAAGCTCATTCTTGTATAGTTCTTCTGTATCGTTTTGCCACCTCTTCTTAATCTCTTCTGCGTCCGTTAGGTCCCTGCCATTTTGGTCCTTTATCATGCCCATCTTTGCACGAAACGTTCCCCCTTCATATCTCCAATTTTCCTGGAAGAGGCCTCTGGTCCTCCCCATTCTAATGTTTTCTTCTATTTCTTTGCACCATTCATGTTAAGAGGGCGTTCTTATCTCTTCTAGCTATTCTCTGGAATTCTGCATTCCATTGGGTGTGTCTTTCTCTCTTTCTCCCTTGCCTTTTCGCTTCCCTTCTTTCCTCAGCTATTTGCCAAGCTTCCTCAGACAGCCATTTTACTTTCTTGCCTTTCTTTTTCTTTGGGATGGTTTTAGTTGCTACCTCTTATACGATGTTGCGAACCTTCAGGCACTCTGTCTATCCGATCTAATTCCTTAAATCTGTTTGTCACCTCTACTGTATATTCATCCGGGATATGAATTTAGTTCACACCTGACTGGTCTAATGTGTGATGACCCAGGGTCCCAAACTGAGGCGAAGCAGTTGGCTGGGAAGAGAAACAGTCCTTTAATCACTGCCAATCTTCCCCAAAAGCTCCCACATATGCTGGCAAGCGTTCAACCAAAGTGCGAGCATGCACGAAAACACACACACACACACACAGGTTCCTTTCAGCTGCCTTTGGCTAAAGCAGTGTTTCTCAACCTTGACCATTTTAAGGCATGTGGACTTCAACTCCCAGAATTCCACAGCCAGCATGTGGAATTCTGGGAGTTGAAGTCCACATGCCTTAAAATTGTCAAGGTTGAGAAACACTGGGCTAAAGGCAATTTCAATACAGAGTCCTCAAGGCCAGACAGATAACAAGAAAACAAAACAGAAACCTAATGAGTCCTTTGAACTCTCAGAATACTAGGATCCAATTATGGGAAAGAGAACGAGTATTTAATATTACATGTATTGACAGCTGCGAGAATAGCACTGGCCCAATTGTGGAAAAATGAAAATCTACCATCGGATCAGATTATAATTACGAAAATTTTAGAATGTGCAGAAATGGACAGACTAGCCCGAGAGATGAAAGAGAAAGAAGACTCAGTTTATTTTAAAACATGGGACATTTTTTAATCAATGCTTAGCAAAACGATCTAGCGAGAAAGGATTGTGAAATTTAATAAGATGTATGATATTTTAATTGATATTCTGTATGATTGCTGCTACTCTTACTGACTGTAGCTATTTCCCATTATATTAATTATTGTGATTGAATATTTGCATCGGGACAATAGTCTGCTTGCTAAAGTGTGGAATTGTTGTGCCTACCTTTATCCCAACTCCATCCCCGAACCCTAACCCTGAACCCCAATACCTATATTGACCTTACACCCTCCCTTACCCCTTTAAAACCTAATAAAATATTGTTTAAAAAAAAAAAGAAAGAAAAAGAAATGCAGTCTGCGGTCGTGAAGCAGGAAACAAACCGGTCCGGAATTCAAAGTGTCCAGGTTAAACAAAGAGCACAATTCACAACTGTCCCAAGATACCATGTTCGTTCCCAGCAAATGCCCCACCCCACAGCGTCTCCTTAAATCTTAAATCCCCAGGTATGCCTTGTGGAGTGGGGCGGGACGCTCTCCTCCTGAGCAATTGAGCCTGGCTCCGTTGTTCTCTCCTCCTCTCTGCTCTCCTTGCTCTAGGACAGTGGTCCTCAACCTGTGGGTCGGGACCCCATTTGGGGTCGAACGACCATTTCACAGGGGTCGCCAAACAAGGCTGTCCGCCATTTTTCCCCCTTTTCTTTGGCCACGCCCCTGGCACCCGGTGATGTATAAGTGGTGGGGGTCACCACAACATGGGGAACTGTATTATGGGGTCGCGGCATTAGAAAGGTTGAGAACCACTGCTCTAGGATCAGGTGGGGAGGGGGCTTCCAAATCTGAAAGGCCTGGCCTGCCTCGGCCTGCTCCTCTGTACAGTCCTCCAATGCCACAGACACCCCCTCCTGTGTCTCAACAGAGTCCTGCTCTAACTCCATGTCTTCCTCGGAATTCAGGCTCGGAGGCACGACCCTGTGTTTTTCCCCACTTTCTTCAATGCAAGCCTAAATTTTGCAAGGAGAAGCTTATGGTCTGAGCCACAGTCAGCTCCTGGTCTTGTTTTTACTGACTCTACAGAGCCTCTCCATCTTTGGCTGCAGAGCACATAGTCAATCTGATGTCTGTGTTGACCGTCTGGTGATGTCCACGTGTAGAGCCGTCTCTTGGGTTGCGGGAAAAGAGTGTTTGCTATGACCATCCTGTTCTCTTGACAAAACTCTACCAGCCTGCGCCCTGCTTCATTTTGTACTCCCAGGCCGAACCCGCCTGTTATTCCGGTTATCTTTTGGCTTCCTACTTCAGCATTCCAATCCCCCATGATGATAAGGATATCATTTTTTGGTGTTAATTCTATTAGGTGCTGTAGGGCTTCATAAAACCGGTCAATTTCATCCTCTTCAGCACCAGTGGTTGGGGCATAGACTTGGACTACTGTGATATTGAATGGTTTGCCTTGGATTCGAATTGAGATCATTCTGTCATTTTGGGGATTGTATCCCAGTATTGCTTTTCCTACTCTTGTATTGACTATGAAGGCTACTCCATTTCTTCTGAGGGATTCTTGCCCACAGTAGTATACCTGATGGTCCTCTGAATTAAATTCACCTTTTCCTATCCATTTTGGTTCGCTGATTCCTAAGATGTCGATGTTCAGTCTTGTCATCTCTTGTTTGACCACATCCAGCTTGCCTTGATTCATGGATCTTACATTCCAGGTTCCTATGGAGAGTGGATCTTTACAGCATCCAACTTTCCTTTCACCACCAGATGCATCCACAGCTAAGCGTCCTTTCGGCTTTGGCCCAGTCGCTTCACTCTTTCTGGCGCTACTAGTACTAGCCCTCTGCTCTTCCCCAGTAGCATACTGGACACCTTCCGACCTGAGGGGCTCATCTTCCAGCGTCATATCTTCCAGCTTTATCTCACTGATCTTGAGCCAGACATCCTAGAATGTGAAGTGAAATGGGCTTTAGGAAATCTGAGCAACAACAAAGCTAGTGGAGGTGACAGTATTCCAGCTGAGCTATTCAAAATCTTAAAAGACGATGCAGTAAAAGAGCTACACTCAACTTGCCAGCAAATTTGGAAAACTCAACAGTGGCCACAGGATTGGAAAAGGTCAGTTTACATTCCAATTCCAAAGAAAGGCAATGCCAAAGAATGTTCAAACTATCACACCATTGCACTCATTTCACATGCTAGTAAAGTTATGCTTAAAATCCTACAAGCTAGACTCCAGCAGTATATGGATCGAGAACTTCCAGAAGTACAGGCAGGATTTCGAAGAGGCAGGGGAACTAGACATCAAATTGCCAACATACACTGGATCATGGAGAAAGCTAGGGAGTTCCAGAAAAACATCTACTGCTGCTTTGTTGACTATGCTAAAGCCTTTGATTGTATGGATCACAACAAATTGTGGCAAGTTCTTAAAGAGATGGGAGTACCAGACCACCTTATTTGTCTCTTGAGAAACCTATATGTGGATCAAGAAGCAACAGTGAGAACCGGACACGGAACCACTGATTGGTTCAAAATTGGGGAAGGAGTCCGGAAAGGCTGTATACTGTCGCCCTGCCTATTTAACTTATATGCAGAGCACCTCATGAGAAAGGCAGGACTGTATGAATCAAAAGTTGGAATTAAGATTGCCAGAAAAAATATCAACAACCTAAGATACGCAGATGATACCACTCTAATGGCAGAAAGTGAAGAGGAACTAAAGAGCCTCTAGATGCGGGTGAAGAAGGAGAGTGCAAAAGTTGACTTGAAACTCAACATTAAGAAAACCAAGATCATGGCATCTGGCCCTCTTAATTCCTGGCAAATAGATGGGGAAGAAAGGGAGGTAGTGACAGATTTTATCTTCCTGGGCTCCAAGATCACCACAGATGGGGACTGCAGCCAAGAAATTAAAAGACGCTTGCTCCTGGGGAGGAAAGCTATGCCAAATCTAGACAGCATACTAAAAAGCAGAGACATCACCCTGCCAAAAAGTGCGTATAGTCAAGGCCATGGTTTTCCCAGTTGCAATGTATGGATGTGAAAGTTGGACCATAAGAAAGGCTGAGCGACAAAGAATGGAGGCCTTTGAACTCTGGTGCTGGAGAAGACTCCTGCGAGTCCCCTGGACTGCAAGTCGATCCAACCGGTCAGTCCTGGAGATCAACCCCGACTGCTCTTTAGAAAGCCGGATCCTGAAGTGGAAACTCAAGTACTGTGGCCACCTAATGAGAAGGAAGGACTCACTGGAGAAGGGCCTGATGCTTGGAAAGATTGAGGGCAAAAGAAGAAAGGGACGACAGAGAAGGAGGTGGCTGAAGCAGGAGGTGTGAGCTTCAATGGACTCCAGAAGATGGTAGAGGACAGGAAGGCCTAGAGGAACGTTGTCCATAGGGTCGCGATGGGTCGGACACGACTTCGCAGCTAGCAACAACAATAGATATAAGATTCCACCTTTGTGGAAAATGCCTTAGGAAAACACTCAATTATCTTTTCTCAAAGGTGCTTCCCCCCCCCCTCCATATTTTTGAATTTGGAGTTTTCCTGTTGTGTACACACACACACACACACACACACACCCGACACAGACGTAAATAGAGCAGCCTGGAGCTGGCTACATTAAAAGTTCTGGAGAAGTTGCCACCCAAAACACAAAGGAAGACCTTTGAAATTTCAGCTGCCCTAAAGCTTTGATTCACTAAGTTGAGTTCTTGCAACTTTTTAAAAATATTTTTATGAATTTTTTTATAGCCATAAATGCTTAATATTTTATCAGCAACACATTGTCTGGGTTTCCAACATTTAACTTAACTAATACATGTTAAATTCTTTTCTCTCTACCTCATTTTTCTAGACATTGATAAAAGGTATCCCATGTTCTAAAGCAGTGTTTCTCAACCTTGCCAACTTTAAGATGTCTGGACTTCAACTCCCAGAATCCCTCAGCCAGCTTGCCCTATGGGGGATTCTGGGAATTGAAGTCCAAATACCTTAACATTGCCAGGGTTGAGAAACACTGCTCTAAAGGATACTGAACTTTCTTTCTCTTTCATTTTCAATGTCAATCTATCCATTTCTGCACAATCTAAATTTTTTTCCATTAACTTTTCCTCTGTTGGCGAAATCTTCTTTTTTCCAATGTTGAGCAAATACAATTCTCGCTGCAGTTAATAGACGCAAAATTCGATATATACGCTCTTTCTCGTAGTTTCCTACAATTACGCCCAACAAAAATAATTCTGGCTTAAAATCTATGTGTTTTTTAGTCATTTTCTCTAACCCAGTGGTTCTCAACCTGTGGGTCGGGACCCCATTTGGGGTCGAATGACCATTTCATGGGGGTCACCAAACCATGCTGTCCGCCATTTTTTCCCCTTTTCCCTAGCTGTCCTACTCCCTCTTATTGGTGGCCACACCCACTTGGGGGTCACCGCAACATGGGGAACTGTATTATGGGGTCACGGCATTAGAAAGGTTGAGAATCACTGCTCTAACCCATTGTTTCTCAACCTTGACAATTTTAAGGCATGTGGACTTCAACTCCCAGAATTCCACAGCCAGCACTGCTGGCTGTGGAATTCTGGGAGTTGAAGTCCACATGCCTTAAAATTGTCAAGGTTGAGAAACACTGCTCTAACCGTATGTGTATTCTTGACCCAAATCTTTTGGCTTTGGGGCATGTCCACCAAAGATGGAAATAAGTGCCTGGTTTTTGCCTACATTTCCAACCGTTGCTAGATACGTTTTTAAACATTTTTGCCAACCTCACCGGTGTTAAGTGCCATCCGTAAAACATTTTGTATAGATTTTCTCCCTACGAGTTCCTGCAGCTTTTAAAGGGTTAAAAACAGAGAGGGAGCCGAGAAATGTTTTCTGCTGGCGCCCCTGATCCAGATCATTTCTTTTTATCCCATTCAGGGGATAAAACGGGCTTTCCAAGGGATTGCCAGTCTCTTGAATAAAAATAGAGTTTGTATTTCTGTTCGCCTGGGGTGTTTGGGCAGAGTGGGGGGGGCTCCAGGTCCCTTCAATGAAATGCTGTCTTTTTGTGAGACGGAGGAATTGTGACCTTCTCTGTACAAGTCTTGCCCTCTAGAACAAAATGTCCCCGGAGTGCCTTGGCTTTTTTCCCGGTCCTGGCATGGGAGGGCATCTGTGAATCCCTCTTGAACATTTTCTCAACGCTGGGCCTTTAAGTTACGTACTGCACATATTGTAAAGCACCCAATGTCCTTATGCAGCTGGGCAGCCATAATAATAACAAGGAGGAGGAGGAGGAAGAGGAGGAGGAGGAGGAAGAAGAAGAAGAAGGAGTTGGAAGAAGGAAGAAAGAAGAAGGAAAAGAAGAAGGAGGAGGAGGAGAAGGAAGAAAGAAGGAAAAGAAGAAGGAGGAGGAGGAGGAGGAGGAGAAGAAGAAGAAGAAGAAGAAGAAGAAGAAGAAGAAGAAGAAGAAGAAGAAGAAGAAGAAGAAGAAGAAGAAGAAGAGGAGGAGAGAAAGGAGAAAGAAGAAGAAGAGGAGGAGGAGGAGAAGGAGAAAGAAGAAGAGGAGGAGGAGGAGAGGAGGAAGAAGAAGAAGAAGAAGAAGAAGAAGAAGAAGAAGAAGAAGAAGAAGAAGAAGAAGAAGAAGAAGAAGAAGAAGAAGAAGAAAAAGAAAAAGAGGAGGAGGAGGAGGAGGAGGAGGAGGAGGAGGAGGAGGAGGAGGAGGAGGAGGAGGAGGAGGAGGAGAAAGATTTTGCCAAGACTGGAAACATTTCAAGTGCTGAATCCAGCAAATGCATAAGCTGCTTACATATAAAAGGGAAAAATTAAGAATGACTTTTCTGTCATTCTGTAATCATAAGTATTTTTCGACTTATGCCCACCGTTGAGCCCAAAATCTCTGCTGCTAAGCAACACCGTTGTTAAGTGAGTTTTGCCCTGTTTTACGGCCTTTCTTGCCCCTGAGTTAATCACTGCACTTTTTCAGTCAGTAACACGGTCGTTAACCCTCTGACTTAGCTTGTCAGAAATTCACAAAAGGGGATCACGTGAGTCCAGGACACGGCAACCGTCATAGGTACCAGTCAGTTGCCAAGCCCCCGAATTTTCACCACGTGACCTTGGGGATGGCTGCAACGGTCGTTAAGGGTGAAAAATAGTGCCGTGGAACTTTTGAGTGGCCCCTAAACAAATGCTTGTAAGTGAAGGACTAGCTGTAATTATGGGAGACAGAGTTGGTTAAGACTGGAAATCCAGCAAGGGAGCAATTTCAAGTGCTTTAAAAACAGCTGCTTACATTCTAGAGCAGGGATAGGCAGTCTTGGCTCTTTTATGACTGGTGGACTTCAACTCCCAGAATTCCTCAGCCAGCATGGGGGAACTGTGGCCCTTCATGACTTGTGGACTTCAACTCCCAGAATTCCTGAGCCAGTGTGGGGGAACTGTGGCCCTTCATTTATTTATTTATGAGACTTATATACCGCTTTAAGTGCAAGCACTCTCTAAGCGGTGTACACCAGTAAGCAATGTATATATATATATTTACATTGCCCCCAACAATCTGGGTCCTCATTTTACCTACCCTGGAAGGATGGAAGGCTGAGTCAACCTTGAGCCGGTGAGATTTGAACCGCTGACCTGCTGAACACAGTCAGCTAAAGTGGCCTGCAGTACTGCACTCTAACTGCTGCGCCACCTCGGCTCATGACTCGTGGACGTCAATTCCCAGAATTCCTGAGCCAGCATGGGGGAATTATGGCCCCCTCATGACTCGTGGACTTCAACTCCCAGAATTCCTGAGCCAGCAAGGGGGAACTATGGCCCCCTCATGACTCATGGACTTCAACTCCCAGAATTCCTCAGCCAGCATGGGGAAACTAGGGCCCCTTCATGACTCACGGACTTCAACTCCCAGAATTCCTCAGCCAGCATGGGGGAACTATGGCCCCCTCATGACTCGTGGACTTCAACTCCCAGAATTCCTGAGCCAGCATGGGGAAACTAGGGCCCTTTCATGACTGGTGGACTTCAACTCCCAGAATTCCTGAGCCAGCCATGCTCAGCTTGGAAACCTCTCCCTTTCCCCTCAGCGTGGCTGGCTCAGGAATTCTGGGAGTTGAAGTCCACGAGTCATAAAAGAGCCAAGGTTGCCTACCCCTGTTCTAGAGTGTGCAGAAACGGACAGATTGACTTTACAGATCAAAGAGAAAGAAGACTCCGTGTACTTTAGAACATGGGATAATGTCTATCAATGGCTAGAAAGACGAATTAGAGAGAAAGGAATGTGACACACAATTTTCAATATATATTAGCAAGAGTGAGGGATTAATTAATATATTGTTTTTGATAATGAACTATTTTCTATTGTTTTTTGAATACATGAACCCAGACATTCTGCTGTTTGCTAAATATTGAGAATGTTACTTGGAAAAACCCCAACTCTAATCCTTACCCAAATCCCAATGCCGACCCCACCTTATTTCTAACCCCATAAAAACTAATAAAATCTATACAAAAAAAAAAAGCTGCTGCTTACATTAAAAAAAAAGGAAAAGCGAGAATCATTTTTCCATACTCTTCTTCAAGCTTAAACCTTTCAGGGCAGAGCGCATCCACTCTGAAATATAACCATCCTTGCTTACCGTTCCCCAAGTCTAATTTAAAAATAGAATATGGATATTTAATATACCACATCTGCCAAAAAAAAAAAAAAATAGAAATGATATATCTTTGAACAGGAGGCCTAAAGCAGAGACAGCCAGCGATAGGACGTTGCAAAGCTACAAACAGGGAGTCCTCTGACTTACGGCCACAGTTTTGAGCCCAACTTTTCGGTTGCTAAGTGATTAAATGTGCTTTGCCACGTTTTACCACCAGGCTTCCCCATGTTGTTAAGTGAAACACGGGAGCTGTTTAGTCACACGATCGTTAAGCAAATCTGGCTCCCCCCTGGTGCACTTTGTCGGGCGGTCACCAAAGGGGATCGCGTGACTCCAGGAGGCTGCGACCGTTGTAAATGCGAGTCGGTTGCCGAGCATCTGAATTTTGATCAGGTGACCAAGGGGATGCTGCAAAGATTGTTCAAGTGTGCAAAGGGGTCATTAAGTCACTTTTTCCCCGGGCCAGAGTTACTTCAAACAGTCACCAAATAAACGGTTGTAAGTTGAGGACTAGCCCCTTAATTGTTCAGGGTTAAAGTGCAAAAGTGCCGCCGCCTGAAGGAAGCCAAGCACTAGACCTGCTCCCCTGCGAGCACAGGTCGCGCCCTGCAAGGTAGACTTCATCGCGCCCAATATAATAATAATAATAATAATAATAATAATAATAATAATAATAATAATAGTAGTAGTAGTAGTAGTAGTAGTAATAAAGTTGGAAGGGACCTTGGAGATCATCTAGTCCAACCCCCTGCTCTAACGTACGGCAGGAGAATCCACACAGGGAGAGTAAAAAGAGCTCCCCCCCCCCAAAAGGCTATTAGACTTTGTTTCAGCTTGAAGACATTTCGCTTCTCGTCCAAGAAGCTTCTTTAGTTCTCGATCAGGAGCGTCAGCAGAAGTGAGGAAGCTTCTGGGATGGGAAGCGAAATCTCTTCAAGGAGAAACAAAAGTCCAGTGCCTTTGAAGGAAAGAGGTGGGGGGAAAGGCACCTTTGGGACAACCAGGACCAGGACGACGGAGAATCTCCATAGGGAACCACACAGGCAGAGTTTATCGGAGGAAGAGGAGGAGGACGACGAGGAGGAAGGGAGGACTGTGGGGTCCTTGGTGCTCTCTGAGCTTGGTGGTTTTCTTGAACTATGGAACATCATCAGTGCTAGGGGGGTTTGCGGAGAGGAGGAGGAGGACTGTGGAGTCCTTGGTGCTCTCTGAGCTGGGTGGTTTCCTTGCAGACGTTTCATTACCTAACTAGGTATCATCATCTGTGTTAAACAAGAGTGGGGTTTGTGGAGAGGAGGAGGAGGAGGAGGAGGAGTACTGTGGAATCCTTGTAAGCTTGGTCATTGTTTTGCAGATCTTTCATGATCCAACTATGGAACATCATCAGTGCTAGAAGGAAGGGGAGTTTGCAGAGAGGTGGAGGAGGAGGACTGTGGGATCCTTGGTGCTCTCTAAGCTTGCAGACCTTTCATGACCCAAATATGGAACATCGTCAGTGCTAGAAGGGAGTGGGATTTGCAGAGAGGAGGGGGAGGAGGACTGTGGAGTCCTTGGTGCTCTTTGAGGTTGATTGTTTTCTTCCAGATATTTCATGACCCAACTAGGTAACATCATCAGTGCTAGAAGGGAGTGGGGTTTGCAGGGAGGAGGAGGAGGGGGAGGAAGACGACTGTGGGACCCTTGGTGCTCTCTGAGCTTTGTGGTTTTCTTGCAGACGATTCATTACCCAACTAGATTAACATCATCAGTGCTATAAGGGAGGGGGTTTGCAGAGAGGAAGAGGAGGAAGAGGAGGAGGAGCACTGTAGGATCCTTGGTGCTCTCTGAGCTTGCTGGTTTTCTTGCAGACCTTTCATGACCCAAATAGGTACCATCATCAGTGCTAGAAGGGAGGGGGGTTTGCAGAGGAGGAGGGGAGAGAAGAGGAGGGGGAGGAGGAGGACGACTTTGGGGCCCTTGGTGCCCTCTGAGCTTGATTGCTTTCTGGCAGACCTTTCATGACCCAACTGTGGAACATCATCAGTGCTAGAAGGGACGAAGAGCAGGAAATGGAGTTGGAAGAGGAGACGGAGGAGGCGGAGGAGAGAGAAGAAGGGAGGGAGCCTGAGAGAGATGCCACAGCTAGGGGAAAAAAAGCAGGAGAGCGCCAGCTGGCGAGAGGGGGTTCAGGTACTCACTCCGGCGAGTGACTTCTGGATATTCTCCCTGGCTCTGGCAATGTCCCGCAGGATGGTGCTGGCGCCGTTCTCCTGCAAACATGCAGAAAGAACCAACTGGGTTGTTTTTTTCCCTTTTCTTCCTTCCTTTCTTTTTCAAAGACGTGCATGCAGATACAGGAGAAGTTACCAAAAGTGGCTCAAAACGAAAGGGACCCTTTGGAAGGCGCACAACTGCTGGCTGTGCGAGCAGGGAAATTTGCCTGCTGACTTCCACTTTGCCAACGCAGCCGCCATGGACGTCTGGAAGACGAGCCCCGTCTTCCGCGTCCAGTTTCGTTTCGCTGGGGGATCCTGGAAAGGGTCGAAAGTCGTCCTGTAGGGGCGACCAGCAAGGAGGGGATCCCCGCTTGATCGCGGGAGGGCGGTTAAAAAAAAAAGGGGGGAAATTTGCTTGCTTAACGCAAGGGCCAACGGCTGCTGCAGAATTCCAGTGCGCGGCACCGCATGGAAAAGCATGCGGCTGTCGTTCGGGGACAGCTGCCTGGGGGTTCTTTTGATAGCGAATTTTAACGTTCCCCACCTGAATGCACCTTCCCTTCCCCCAGTAGATTATTTATCGTATGGCATGGTCGCATCACGTTCTGGTAACGGTGCAAGACACAAAAATACAAAAAAACCCCAAATAAATCTAAAAATATTATAAGCGTACAGGTAGCCCTTGACTTATGACCACAGTTGAGCCCAAAATTTCTGCGGTGAAGTGAGAAGACACCTGTTTGGTGAGGTTCGCCCCATTTTACAACCTTCCTTGCTGCAGTTGTTAAGTGAACCGGTGCACCTGTTAAGTCAGCCAGCCACCCTGTTGTTAAGTGACTCCAGCTTCCCCACTGACTTTGCTTGTCGGAAGGTCGCAAAAGGAGATCGCGTGACCTTGGGACGCTGCGACGACGGTCATAAATATAAACCAGTTTTACCAATCATCTGGATTTCGATCGCGTGATCGTGGGGGAAGGTTGTAACTGTAAAAAGTGGTCCTTCCCTGTTGTTGTAACATGGAGCGGTCACTAAATGAACTGCTGTTAAGTCAAGGATTACCTGTACAGCTATATTTCAGATATAATTGTGGGGCTTCATGTGTCCCAACCAGGAAATCATTAAAGCCTCCAGTGGAGGCTTCATCTTGGCCCTAAATGTTGGTTGGTTGTTTTTTTTTTCGGACCCGCAATTCAGCGATGGTTATTTTGCTCCACTTAAAGGGGACGACTCTACATCTCCCAGTCCCCGTGCGAATTCGGTTCAATGTTGCCCATATTGCACACTGGTCAATGCCGTGCGGTTTTCCCAAGATGCAAAGCAAACCTGGACATTGTGGGGAGGGGGGGGAAACTGTTTTCTATCCAAGGTTGTTTCCACACAATTGCGCAGATTAAAATCATCTTCCACAAGTGTTTTAGTGGTAGAAATATAGTCATTTTTACTTGCCATTGCAACCGACCCCCAAGCTCAGTGGTGGCAAACCTACGGCACGGGTGCCAGAGGAGGCACTCATATAGAGCCCTCTCTGTGGGCACGCGCACCATCGCCCCAGTCCAAGGCCTTCAGCTGGGTTTTATAAAACCTTTTTGCTTTAGGCCTCCGCCACGGTGTACAAAAAAAAAGGTTTAATCAATCAGTCAATTTCAACTTCTCGTGGGAAATAAAAAGATCTTGCAAAGTTGGAATTGATTGATTGAACTTTTTAGTCCCACCCAGTCTGCCGTTACCACCACAGCCACACCCACCCAATGGGCCACACCCACCCGGCACCCGACGATGCTTAAGTGGGTTTTGGGTTGCAGTTTGGGCACTCAGTCTCTAAAAGGTTCGCCATCACTGCGCAAGCTTATGTTGCTAAGTGAGAGGTTAGTTAAAAGCGAGGTTTGCCCCATTTTGCGAGCTTTCTTGGCACGGGCGTTAAGGGAATCAAGCAAGGAGCATGGTCATTAAAGGAATATGGCTTTCTCCCCATTCACTCTGCTTGTGTGACCCTGGGGGGGGCACACTGCGACCATCATAAATAGGAGCCAGTTGCCAAGTGTCTGAATTTAGATCATGTGTCCATGGAGATGCTGCGACGGTTGTAAGTATGAGACGTAGTTTTCAGTCCCTTTTTTCAGGGCTGTTGTAACTTCAGTCTAATAATAATAATAACAATAATAACAATAATAACAATAATAATAGTAATAAAGTTGGAAGGGACCTTGGAGGTCATCTAGCCCAACCCCCTGCTCAGGCAGGACACCCTATACCATTTCAGACAGGTGGGTGTCCAGTTCCTTCTTAAAAACTTCCAGTGTTGGAGCATTCACCGCTTCTGGACGGTCACCAAATGGAAGTCGAGCACTACCTGTAGCTGGGTGGGGAAGTTAAATCCCATAATTTCCCAGTAGGAAGTTGGAACTAGTCAGCATGCATGGCGCACAACTATGCACAATGTACAATTGGGATTCGGTGTGTTTGCATCAGCCCGTCTGCAGCCCTCTAAACTAGCCGTTCATGGCTACATTCAGAGGTTGTCCTGCAATATTTGGGGGGTGGGAAACAACCCACAAAATTCTGCATTAGGCAGGTGAGGGGAACTAGGCCCAGCCAAACCACCCTTAACCCACGCTCATGCTGCTGTCAGTAAAATTATTGGCCGTAAAATGGGGCACATGCAAAATACACCGCAAACTGCGGTGTGTTCTGTGGGGGTCTGGCCCAAATGCAGCTCGGTAGGTTCCTTTAGCAAATGAGAAATACAACAAAATGTTAATTTATCCCCAGGACATTCTGGCCAGCACTGCTTCAAGACGAGTAATTTATTTGTCTTATTTCTATATTGCCCATCAAGTTTGCGTGCCGGTTATGTATATCGAATGGAAGGAGGGTTAAATTCGATGCTCCCAAATTTGAATTAAAATGCCTTTCCATATTAAAGGGCTTTAAAAAGGTCTTCTGTCCCCAGTCAAGGACAGAAGAATTAAAATAGAAAATTGAGGGGGGTTGGGGGTGGGACAGGCAAAAATACTGGCCATATCTATCTATCTATCTATCTATCTATCTATCTATCTATCTATCTATCTATCTATCTATCAATCATCTATCCATATCTATCTATCTATCCATCCATATTTATCTCTCCATATCTATCTATCTCTCCATATCTATCTCTATCTATCTATCCATATCTCTCTCCAATCTATCTATCCATCCATATCTATCTCTCCATATCTATCTATCTATCTATCTATCTATCTATCTATCTATCTATCTATCTATCTATCTATCTATCTATCCATCCATATCTATCTATCTATCTATCTATCTATCTATCTATCTATCTATCTATCTATCTATCTATCATCTATCTATGAGAATATTTATAGATCAGGGTTGAAATGAGAGGTCCTTGGTGCTCTCTGAGTTTGCTCAGAGAGCACCAAGGACCCATTATCTATCTATCTATCTATCTATCTGTCTGTCTGTCTGTCTGTCTATCTATCTATCATTCTATCTTTTCCTTCCTTCCTTCCTTCCTTCCTTCCTTCCTTCCTTCCTTCCTTCCTTCCTTCCTTCCCTCCCTCCCTCCCTCCCTCCCTCCCTCCCAGTAGTTAGAATGCAGCATTGCAGATTAATTCTGCCAACTGCCAGAGTTCAATCCTGACTGGCTCAAGGTTGACTCAGCCTTCCGTCCTTCCAAGGTTGGTAAAGTGAGGATCCAGATTGTTGGCGGCAAATATGTTGACTCTGTAAACTACTTAGAGAGGGCTGTAAAGCACTGTGGAGCCAGATGTAAGTCTAAGTGCTATTGCTTGGGAAAGAAAGAATGAATGAATGAATGAATGAATGGAGGGAGGGAGGGGAGGGAGGGAGGGAGAGAGGGAAGGGAAGGAAGGAAAGGAAGGCAGGCAGGAAGGAAAGGGAGGGAAACAAGGACAAGGAAGGAAGGAAAATGAGAAGGAAGGAAGGGAAATGAGAAGGAAGGAAACCGTGGTGGTGCACAGAAGTTCAATCTTGACGTGGTTCAAGGCTGACTCAGCCTTCCATCCTTCCAAGGTCGGTAAAACATGGACCCGGATTGTTGGGGACAATAGGCTGACTCTGTAAACTGCTTAGAGAGGGGTGTAAAGCACTGTGAAAGGGTATGAAAGTCTACGTGCTGTTGCTTGGGAAGGAAGGAAGGAAGGAAGGAAGGAAGGAAGGAAGGAAGGAAGGAAGGAAGGAAGGAAGGAAGGAAGGAAGGAAGGAAGGAAGGAAGGAAGGAAGGAACAGAAGGATATGAGAAGGAAGGAAGGAAGCTGTGGTGGTGCACAGAAGTTCAATCTTGATGAGATTCAAGGTTGATTCAGCCTTCCATCCTTCTGAGGTCGGTAAAACGATGACCAGATTATTGGAGGGTCAACATGCTGACTCTGTAAACCACTTAAGAGAGGGCTGTAAAGCATCGTGAAGCGAGATATCAGTCTAAGTCTTAAATCTAAGCAATGGACAGTCTCCCTTCTATCATCGATGCTGTTCCCTAGTTTGATCATGAAAAATCTGCAAAAAAACCTTTATTATTATTATTATGGATCATCGCACAGTCAGCCAGATGTTCAGACTGGATTTGGCATTTTGTCTACCTATTGAGTCCTTACCCAGGACCTGGGATAGGCAGATGTGGATGTTTGATGGTATTTCAGATATCGTCGCAGGATGGAAGCAGTTCCTAGTAAGGCCGCCTTTTGCAATTGACTAATGGCGAATTTGTCAATGCTGATGGTGTTCAAGTGGTGCTCCAGTTGTTTTGGGATGGCACCCAAGGCGACTATGACTATTGGTACTACCCTTGCTTTCTTTTGCCACAGTCTTTCTATTTCTATTTGTAGGTCTTTGTATTTTTTTGTTGTTATTATTATATTATTATTATTATTATTATTATTATTATTATTATTATTATTATTATTGATCATCGCAGTCAGCCAGATGTTCAGACTGGATTTGGCATTTTTGTCTACCTCTCAAGTCCTTCCCAAGGACCTGGGATAGGCAGATGTGGATGTTTGATGGTATTACAGATCTCGTCGCAGGATGGAAGCAGTTCCTAGTAAGGCCGCCTTTTGCAATTGACTAATGGTATTATTATTATTATTATTAGTCGTACAAATGGGGCAAAACTCACTTAGGAGCTGTCTCGCTTGGCAAAGGAAATTTTGGACTCAATTGTGGTTATAAGACAAGGACTACCTACCTGCCTATTACTCTGAAGGGTCCTGGGGAACCACCCCAAAGGATCACAATTCTCAACCAATTCATTGACTCTCCTTGCCGGTAACCATCCGCTCCCACTTTCCTTGCCAAAGACCAAAACTTATTGGGAAGCTGAAAGCTTGCCAGATCCCAAAAGTGACTGGCAAAGGAGGGCAACTGGAACGGAGCTAAAAACGGTCCGGAGAAATACTTGCTATGAATCGAGTTAGGATGCCGATGACTGAGCAGAGATGGCACACAATTTGTACACAACTGGGGGGAAGGGGGGGCATTAGGGACAAAGGACCACGTTTGCCACCAGCTCTTTGGGGGGGCTTTCTCAACGATACCCCTCAAAGGGGAGCCAAGCTGGCAGGGAAGGCAGACAGAAATGGGTTTTCAAGGCCTTTTGTGGAGACATCGAGGCAGAATTTCAAAAAAAAAAAAAAAAACTAGCTTGCGTGGATCAGAGTTGGAACTGGTGGAGAATTCACAATCACAGGTAGAAGCACCCTTGGCGTGGGACCAGATAAAATGAAGAGGGCAACCTGTGGCTTGGACACAGGAAATACTAGCATCTTACCTTTGGGCAGGCTGAGCTGCGGGCCGGACCGTTCAGCTGTTCGTAGTACCGCTTCTCGGCATCGTCGTATTTGAATTTGTCGAACCAGATCTTCTCGTGCATGAGGAAGTGGCTTGCCATTTTCCTGCAAAGATGAGGAGACTGAATAAATATTTGAAAATGCTGGCTTTAGGATCAGCTCACCGAATGACCGACCACGAGCCCTTCCAACGGCATCTCTCTCCATCCCTCGGGGTTGTCTCCAGTAAGAAGTCGCCAATCCATCCCTCCAGATCAGGGGTAGGCCACCTGGGCTCTTTTTATGACTGGTGGACTTCAACTCCCAGAATTCCTGAGCCAGCCACGCTGAGAGGAAAGGGAGAGGTTTCCAAGCTGAGCCATGCCGGCTCAGGAATTCTGGGAATTGAAGTCCACGAGTCACAAAAGAGCCAAGGTTGCCTACCCCTGCTCTAGATCAGGGGCGTCCAACCTCGGCACCTTTGAGACTTCTGGACTTCAACTCCCAGAATCCCCTAGCGAAAAAGCTGACCAAAAGGCAATCGAACCAGCAATTACCCGAACCGTCTTGGCACTTAAAAAACTGATCAGAACTCAACTACCGGTTGCAAATCTGGCTATTTTTTTTTCCTTAGAAGATACGTAGACGCCATCACTACAAGCGGCACCCGATCCTTACACGGCACAGCGTGATGGGTTTAGCGGAAACCCAACCGTCTCAGTACGCTCTGAACAGGCCTCCACTGATAAGGCACTTAAGGGATTGAACAAAAGCACACAACTGTTCCAGTTCCCAAACTGTTTCCCCGTTATCGGTCTGCCTGGTAGTTGAAAGATAAGCAAGAATCTCAAACCTCTCAACCTTGAATTTGCCTCTTGAAGAGAAGCATTTTTTTAAAAAACAAAAAAACAAAAATGCATATGGTAATAAAATGCTGGATGTGGGGTTGGGATTCAGCAGCCAAGGAGATAAATGCTGTCTACAAGGGTGGGAACTTGGAAGGGGAGTAGGACAACTGGATTACCACGAATAACAAGGGCAAATAAAATCACAGGGCAAAAGATTTAAAAACCTATCACAGCGCATCAGCTGGCATTAGAGTTGCTTACTAAACGAGAGATGGCATGCAGCAAAGAATACCACGAAGACCACCAAAAGTCCATTTCAGAGGCATCTAAAAATCTGGTTTATTCCATTACCTCCCTGCGTAAAACTCCACCAAGTATCCAGGCCATTGTATCCTTCAAAACACCTCCAGACACTGGTCTCCCTCTGATGAAGCAGCAGTTTGGGTTCAGTTCTACAAACAAACACCACACCAAGGGGGGGGGTCTCCGACAACTTGCCGCAGGCAACTCCTCACAGCCAACTCACTGTGCGACAACTCCCCACAGCCAACTCATCATCGTGGGACAACTCGCTGACGGACGGGACTTACACTAACGTCGAAGAAATAGTGGAATGGAATCCTTACAGAAAGGATGACAGAGGAGGGACAGAAGGGGAATGACAAAAACTGAAATATTTTCTTTATTGCTTATTTTTAAATAATTAAATTGAATTGTCGAATTGTCCCGCAGCGACAAGGTGTGGCAAGCTGTCCCGTGGCAAGTTGGCTGCGGCAAGTTGTCCCATCCCGCCACCGAGGGCCTGGCTTTTGTAGAGGGCGAGACTCGGGTGACCCCAAATTTGACACCCAAGTGAGACCAGGCTAAGCAGGCAACCAACACGTGACATGCAGACAAGCATTAAGGGGTGGGGGGTCTTTTACAATCTAGATCAGTGGTTCTCAACCTTTTTAATGCCGCGACCCCCAACCGGTCGTAAGTCGAGGACTACCCAACCGGTCTTAAGTTGAGGACTTTTCCTGCCCGGGAGCGCCGTGCATGCGTGGTGTCGCCCCCTGCGCCGGCCGAGGCGTAGCTGGCAAGCGACAGAGACGGAGCAGGCCGACCACCGGCTGGGCCACCAGCTGGCCCAGCCCAAGGGAGGTAAGGCACCCGCCGGGCCACACGTGCGTCAGCAACCCTCCCTGCGCCCGCCGGCCTCCCACCTCCCACCCCTGGCCTTCTTTTACTTACATTTTTAATAGTTGCTTAGTAGGGAGGGGTGGAAGCTTCCAGACAGCTCGCCTTCGCTGCAGACAACTTGCAGCACCATTTGCAGACTGGGACTTTTGGCAGGCTCAGCAGGGCAGAGACAGCCTGGACAATTCCTATTGGCTTTGGAAAGCCAATAGAATTAGACTCTATTCAAGAGAGTCTCTTCTATTGGCTTTCAAAAGCCAATAGAATAAAAGGGAGTAGCACAGCTAAGAAAAAGGGGGGGGAAATGGCGGACTGTGTTGTTTGGCGACCCCCGTGAAATGGTCGTTCGACCCCAAATGGGGTCCCGACCCACAGGTTGAGAACCGCTGATCTAGCTTCACCGAACGAAACTCTTTCATCCCACATGAACTAACAGGAATGCCCTGGGCACAAAACTGTCAAGTCGACCCAAACACCACAGGCAAGAGACCACCTCTTTTCAAACCCTGCCCTTAACTTTGGAACAACGGGAATCCCTTCCCAGAATACAGAACCCACAGAGTTGGGAGGGACCGTGGAGGTCATCTAGCCCAACCCCCTGCTCAGGCAGGAAAAACTACACTGTGTCAGACAAAGGGCTGTCCAGTCTCTTCTTAAAAGCTTCCAGCGTTGGAGCATTCACAAGTTGTCCCAACTGGTTAACTGTTCTCACTGTCAGGAAATTTCTCCTTAGTTCTAGGTTCTCCTAAAACAGAGGTTCTCAACCTTGGCAACTTTAAGACTTGTGGACTTCAACTCCCAGAATTTCTCAGCCAGCAAAGCTGGCTGAGGAATTCTGGGAGTTGAAGTCCACAAGTTCTTATAAAGTTGCCAAGGTTGAGAACCCCTGCCCTAAAACATTAGGGTTAATTTCCTTCCCCCCCCCCTATAATGCTCCTTGTCACAACCAGCCCTGGCTGTGACAGCACAACGACAACACATTCCAGGTCCTCTGCATGCTGAGGCTGATTCTTTACAGCTATGCTGTTGGGACTGAGAACATCCACCCCCACCACCAGCCCGAAAGCCCACAACCACATGCTTTTTCCTACTTAGATTCAGGCTCTGGTGCGCTCGGAGGCTGGGCAGTGGGTTGTGTGGCTGCGGCTTGCGTGGCTTCAGACAGTCTGCTGGCCTCTTCGTGGGCAAGGGAGGCGTAGAAGGCGGCTTCTGCGTTGTCGTACGTGGGTTTGCTGAACCACAAAGATTCCGTGTCCGGGTGCATAAAGTGCCAGGCGGGAGGTTGTGGTGGTGCAGCTGCTGAAATTTCCTGCGGCATCGGTGCCCCAGCGGCGGTGGTGTTCCCCCGCTTGCCCGGAGGCTGCTTCCTTAGGCTGTTCCGGCTCTTCTTCTCTTTCCGGCCCTTTCTGGGGAGATCCACGTGGCCACGTTCCTGCAGCCTCACCTTTCCGGGAGGGTGGCCATCAAACATGTTGGCGTAGAAGCACCGCTCGGCGTCGTCGTAAATCGGCTTCTCCAGCCAAACTTCCGACAGCAGAGCTCGCAAACCGGAGCCCGGAGGTTTGCCGTTCACCGTCTGGTTTGCGTCGTCTGCCGGGATGACCACCGCATCGGCCACGTGGGCTGGGGTGGAAGGAGTAGCCAGGGCCGTCACGTAGCCCTCGTCCGGCGTGACGGGCCCGGCACTGGCCAGCTTCAGGAGCGAGGGCGGCTGCAGCAAGTAGGGGAACGTCAGAAGTTGCGACTGTTCGACAAAGACCTTCTCGGCGTCGTCAAAGTGGAATTTGTTCAGCCACACGTCCTGGACGACGTGGTGGCACGCCGTGAGGCCGCCGTGGCTGCAGCGCAAGAAGGCCGGGTCTCTGCTGAGCTCGGCGTCCGCCTGGACGGCGTCTTCGGGCCGAAGCACCGCAGCAGCTGGCTCCACATCTTGAAGCCACACCGAGGGCAGAGTGGGCAACGAGTCGGCGAGCTTGAGGTGGTAGGCCGATTCCGCTTGGTCAAAGCGCGGCTTGTCAAACCATACGTGGTCAGCCAGCAGCCCCACCAAGACAGGATCTATTTGGGGGTCCCAAGACCTGGCTTTGGGGGAACACTTCCTTTTCTTCTGCTTCTTGCCACTCCCTGCCCGCCGCAGCTCAGCCTGCAACTCTTCCTCGGCACGCTCCTCGTGGCAGAAGCCGTTGACGGCGACCAGCTCCTGGCCAGGCCTGGCAGCCGAGGCAGCTAAAGCTGCTTCTCGCTCGTAGTGAAGCCTCTCGGCCTCGTCGTACTTATGCTTGTCCACCCAGACCTTTTCGGTGGGATACAGCAGCTTCCTGGTCCTCATCTTCCGAAGAGGCGGGCGGGGGCAGCATGAAGAGACAAGCACAAGAGGACAGTTGATGACATAACCGTCATAAACGTGAGTCAGTTGCCAACGGTTTGAACTTTGATCATGTGACCCCAGAGATGCTGCAACGGTCGTAAGTGTGGAAAAACAATCCTCAGCCACTTTTTTTCAGTGCCGTTGTAACTCTGAGCAGTCACTAAATGAACTGCTGTTAAGTCGAGAGCTACTTGCACACCTAGCCCTCGACTTACGACGTCAATCGGGGACCAGAATTTCCATTGCTAAGCCACACGGTGGTTAAATGAGTCCCGGGGAATTTTTACGGCCTGTTTTGCTGCTATGACGGTTATGTGAATTACTGCGGCTGCTAAGTAAATCATGCGGTCATTAAGTGGAACCAGCTTCTCTCATAGTCATTGCTTGTCAGACGCTGTCTGGGAAGATCGCAAATGGCAACCTCACAAACCGGGGGTGACGCAACCGTCGTAAAGGCATGCCGGTTGCAGAACACCCGAATTTTGATCCTGTAAACCAGGGGTCTTCAAACCTGGCCCTTTTATGACTAGTGGACTTCAACTTCCAGAATTCATCAGCCAGGCACGCTGGCTGAGGAATTCTGGGAGTTGAAGTCCACTCTTCTTGAAGTTTATATCAGAGTTTTCAAACTTGGCCCTCTCAGGACTTGTGGACTTCAACTCCCAGAATTCCTCAGCCAGGCAAGCTGGCTGAGGAATTCTGGGAGTTGAAGTCCACAAGTCACAAAAGGGCCAAGTTTGAAGACCCCTGAGGTAAACTGTGTGTGTTATGCTGATATGGTCATTAAGGCAAGGACGGATTGTTAAGTCCCATTTTTTCAGCGCCACAGTAACTTCAAATGGCCGCCAAACAATTGATTGTAAGTCGAGGACTATCTGTATACAAAGCCTTAATTGTGTGAATGATTACACTGGTTTTTATTTTTTAAAAAGCGCTTTAAGCAAATTATTTAGAAAGCTCTGCCTGTTGTCATGCTCTACTACGCCAACATTATTTTATTTACTTATACTTCATGTTTCTTAACCGCCCATCCTCGTGGCTACTACTTGAGCAACAGCTGCAGAAGCAGACCAGCTGTGTCTGCCAGATGTTCGGACTTTTAACCTTCCCACCATCTGCCCCCCCCCATCGGTCACAAAAGGGGCTGAAGTCCTAAACATCTGGAAGAGGCAGAGAAACACTTCTGGAGAAAATCAGAACTTCCCTGGGGTGGGTTGAAATGTGTCTGTCAAAGGTCTTGGGGTGGCTAGGGTTTTTTGGGCTGCAGTCCCTGACTTTGATCAATACTGTCCGAGCCAAATTCCAATTTATTAAGGGGATTTAATGCCGCGGCAGGAGACAATTCTTGGGGTTGGAAGCTACAGTAGTGGCCAAAATTGTGGAAACCTTTTTGGGAAAAGTGTACGGTAGAAATGCCACCTTTGGTTACGTTTCCACCCATTTTTCTTCTCATTTCTTTATAACTGTAGCCCTGTTCACTTAATAATACTATTTTACACTGCTTTCTGGGTGACCAGTCAACTCTTTGCACCATGACTTTAATTTTATGACATTTTACAAGCTCACAAAAAAAACCCCAACCAACTTGATGGCGATCACATAACACACTGACAAATGTCCTCCTCTCAGCTTCAATACATGGCACCAATAACTGGATCCTACCGTGATCTGATTGGCTCATTGCCAAAACAAGATGACACCCGATTGGCTCTCTAAACGCTCATGCTCATTGGCTGCAATCGGATGAAGGAAAGCTACCTGAGATCAACCTAAGCAAGTTGTGCTTCCTTTTTCTGGTTATTTGGCTATAACTTTTCACAGAATGCAGTACAGATAATTGAACAGCCTTTGCTGCATTACATTCTTGATTAAATTATCTTTCCATTGATATATAATTTTATGGCACTACTCCAAAAAAAGTGGTGTTATTAGCCAGGCATCAGACCTCAAAAATACTTTTCCCAAAGGTTTCCACAATTTTGGCCACTAATGTAAGCAGGACTGGGCCTGATTACTATTTGGATGGATGGGAGACCACCAGGAAATACGTGGACTGCAGGCTAGATTAGAAAGATAAAAAAAAATCCTGGAAGATGATTGGTTAAGAAAACAGCATGAACTCTCCCATAAGTCCTTAAGAGGCTTAATGTGCATTTTGAGGGATAGTGGTAGAACTAGTGATCTAGTTACGGGTCTCTGTTGTTACCCTTAACATTCAACACAAGTAGCCCTCACTTAGTGACCAAAATTGGGACCGGCAACTTGGTTAAGTCAAGCAGTCGCTAAGTGAACCTGCAACTGTACTTATGATCTTATTATAGCTGTCCTTTGCTGTAGGCAAGTCATAAATGCAAGGACAGGTTGCAAAGTTACATCATCGTAACGGCAAATGGTTGCTGTACAAGACAGTCGCTAAACGAGGATTGCCTATACCGAAAGAATCCAGTCCCATCCCTCCAGATGAAGGGCAAGAGGCTCAAATTTATGGCCCAAAACATCTTTATAAACTTTTAATTCCAATGACAACTGGCTTCTTGATTAAAACGTTTTAAGAAGCTGGTTGGCAAAATTAAATGTGCTGAAATTTGATAAACCAGATATATATACTAAGGCAGAATTTCTGAACGCTTGCCAGTTTTATATACGATTGATGTAAGGTAATTTTGGGGCATCCCTGTGGACAAATATGCGGTCCACTTGAGGATGAAATTGTTTGGTATTAACCTGGAGAAAAATCAGGCTATTCCTCTGAGTCTTGTTGTTGTTGTTGTCGCTGTTTAAAATGTACTATTTTTCATCTCAGGTATGTTAGTAACGGTTTTCCCCTACTTACTGTTGGAGACTTGAAAAGGAGCCCTCAACTACAAATTTGAAAAAACTACTTGTCTAACCTTCAGCCCATCCATCACAAGGTCGTAGTCAGGTGTTAAAAAGCTGTGTGCTTAAGTCCCGGACTAAAGCATTATGTGAAACTTCCAAGGAATTGTGACAGGCAAATGTCACTGACATCACAATGCTAGCTCAGGAGAGGCAAAACCAGGACCTGTAATAGTAGCTCTAGCCTCGTGTAAATTATATGACTGTCCCAATACTAGTATATATATTTTCCGCTGTACCTTCCTATTTCCTACTCGTTTATAACCCAGCGTTGCATTAATGTGGTTTTTCACATACAAAGCCATACAAGAAACATTTTAACCGTGCTCCTGACATAACATATATCTTGGGGAATGTTGTATATCATCGGTCTTGGATCTAAAGCAGATCAAAGAATAAGATACCAGCCCAAGAACTAGGAAAGAGACACGGGTGTTATCGAAAGATTGAAGCAGGGAGACTTAAGGACCTGATGTGTTTTGTTAATAAGTTTAAACACATTTTGACAAAGGGAAGTCTAATTTCTGCCAGGAGAAAATGGGAGGAGTTTTATTTTAACACCCAGGTGCTTTTTTTGTGTGTCAAAATACACAAAATACAATGACATCTTTCTATCCTACGAATCAAATTCTGCCCTCGTTAAAGGAAGCTCAGCATTTACATGAAGTTTGAAAGGAAAAGAAAACCCCAGGAAAAAAGTGGCAGAGTTTTAAACAATGTGGGGAGACTTGTACCCAACACGACGTGCTAGAAAAGGGGCGTTGACTTACCTGAACGCCTTTTCTCAGCACGGAGATGGATAATCCACGCAGTGGGTTGAGACTGTATTCCTGGCCAATCAGATCAGTCAGCCAAAGTTGCCACGCCCCGTCTTGGACCATGATCCTTTAGTCTTGACTCGAGCGCAGCCATTGACTGACAGTAAGACGTTTTGGCTCCACTAAATATACCCTATTATTCTAGTCTATAAGGGTGGGTGTGGATTATCCATCTCCGTGCTGAGAAAAGGCGTTCAGGTAAGTCAACGCCCCTTCTCCAGCACTGGAGATGGATAATCCACGCAGTGGGACATACCAAAGCCTATTGTCCCTTGGGTTGGGGAATAGACTGGTCCCGTGTGCAACTTTGGTCTAGCACCTGCTGGAGAACCCTCCTACCGAAGGAGGCCTCTGCAGAGGAGTACCTGTCGATTTTGTAATGACGAATGAATGGAGAGGGCGAGGCCCAAGTGGCTGCCCTGCATACCTCTTCAATAGAAGCCTGCATGGCCCATGCTGCTGAGGTGGCAGCACTCCTTGTGGAATGGGCCGTGATATGCTTGGGGACTTGCAAGGACTCCGCCTGGTATGCCCCCGTGATGCATGCCCTAATCCACCTACCGATGGTAGAGGACGAGACCTTCCGGCCCCTAGTAGCAGGGTTGAAGGATATGAAAAGCGCTTCCGAGCGTCGGAATTCCGCTGTGCGTGAAATGTAATGTCTTAGTGCCCTGCGTACGTCCAAGGTGTGCCATTGTTGTTCCAGGGGATGAGCTGGGTTTTGACAGAAGTCTGGTAGGACTATTTCCTGTGATCTGTGAAAAAGGGAGTTGACCTTTGGAATGAATGAAGGGTCTATTCTTAGGACTACCTTGTCCCTGTGAAAATGGCACAGGTCCTTCCTCATTGAGAGAGAAGCTAACTCGGATATCCGCCGAGCTGACGTGATGGCTACCAAGAATGCTACCTTATGGGTCAGATAGCGAATGTCACATGTTTTGAGTGGTTCGAAGGGCGCTCTGGTAAGAGCTTGTAGTACTCGTGGTAGTTCCCACGATGGATACCTATGCACGGTTGGCGGTCTGATGTTTGCAGCCCCCGTGAGGAAGGATCGTATTAAGGGATGCTTGCCCAAGGATTCACCGGGGCTGGCAGAAAGTATAGTTGAGAGGGCGGCGATTTGCCTGCGCAGTGTGTTTGGCGAGAGGTCCCTCTCTAGGCCATCTAGTAAAAATTCTAGGATCTTGGGAATTGTGATCCCTTCGAGTAACAATTCCTGTTTAGAGCACCATGATTGGAAGCTTCTCCACGTGGCCTCGTAGATACGGTTCGTGGAGGGGCGCCTTGATGCCTGTATGACCCTAATTACACCCTGTGAGCAAGCCCCCTTGGCTAAAATTGACCGTTCAAGAGCCAGACGGCTAGTTGTAGCCATTGTGGCTCTGGGTGGGAGATCTCCCCCTGCTTGAGGGAGATCCTCTCCGGAGGAATCCGCCATGGATTCGTGCGGGAGAGACTCCTCAAGTCTGCGAACCAAGGTCTCCTTGGCCAATAAGGGGCCACAAGGATTACCTCGGCCCTTTCCCGCAGAATCTTGCGTACTACCGCCGGAAGGAGAGGTAAGGGTGGAAACGCGTACAGGAGCCCCCTTGGCCATGGGCTCCGTAACGCGTCCGTCTGCTCTGCTCCCTTGGATGGGAATCGGGAGAAGAAGCGAGTTAGGTGGGCATTGGAAGGAGAGGCAAAAAGGTCCACCTGGGGAAGCCCGAAGCGGTGACAGACCTCCCTGAAGATCCTCGGGTGTAGTTGCCACTCCGAGTGATCTATTGTTGATCTGCTCAACAGATCTGCTTGGATGTTTGCCTCCCCCGATATGTGGTCGGCCTTTATGGAGGCCAGATTTTGTTCCGCCCAGGCCCCCAGTAGGAGGGCCTCGGCCGAGAGCGAGCGAGAGTGTGTGCCCCCCTGACGGTTTATGTGGGCCTTGGCTGTCACGTTGTCCGTCAGGACCAGTACGTGCCTGCCTTTTATGCTGCTGTGAAAATGCCTTAACGCTAGGTGAATAGCCCGCAGCTCGAGCCAGTTTATGTTGTGTCGGAGATCCACCGCTGACCAGCGGCCCTGTGTCCACTTGGTCCCCAAGTGGCCTCCCCAGCCGAATAAGCTCGCATCTGTTGTGACTACTACTCTGTCTGGTTCCCTGAAGGGGGACCCCCTGAGGAGAGCTGGAGATAGCCACCACCTGAGGGAGTGTCGTACTCTCAGAGGTATGCCTACCCTCTTCCGGGATGCACTGATTTGTTGTCTCTGAAACGGGAGCATGAACCATTGCAGTTCTCTTGAGTGCAGCCTTGCCCAAGGAACTATTGCTATGGTCGATATCATCTTCCCTAGCAGCTGGGAGAGGCAGACCAGCGTCACTGACTGACCGCGGCTTACCTGTTTTACGGCTTTCTTTATGCTGCTGAGGCGTTCCTGTGATAGGTACACCTTGCATTCCTTTGTGTCTATGACCGCTCCCAGGTGGAGTATTCTCGTAGTTGGGGTTAGATGGCTCTTTGGAAAGTTCACCGAGAAGCCGTGGTCCTGCAGCATTTTTATCACTAACTTTAGGTCCGCCCGAGACTGCTGGGCGGACGATGACTGGATTAGAATATCGTCCAGGTAGCACTGGACTCTGACTGGTACGTTTCTTAGTTGTGCTGCCAGAACCGCCAGAATCTTGGTGAACACCCTGGGCGCTGATGACAGGCCGAATGGAAGTGCCCTGTATTGAAAATGGTGCCCCCTGTAGGCAAACCGTAGAAAGCGGCGGTGAGCCAGAGAGATAGGGATGTGCAAGTATGCCTCCGTGAGGTCGATCGATGCCAGAAAATCCCCTTTCCTTACGCTTCCAAGGATGGAGCGTAGTGTCTGCATTTTGAATTTGCGGTATTTTATGTAGAAATTTAGCCTTTTCAAATCCAAAACGGCTCTCCAACCCCCCGAGGGTTTTGGGACCACGAAGAGGATAGAATAAAACCCCTGGTCTCTCTGGTTCATAGGCACCGGCTCTACGGCCCGTATGTTTAGAAGGTGCTGAACGGCCTCGTTCATGAGCCTTCTCTTTGTTGGGTTTGTGGGACAGGGGCACGGGCGGAAGCGGTTCGGGGGCTTTGAGAGAAATTCTAGAGATAGACCATGACGTATGGTGTTCCTGACCCATACGTCCGTGGTGGTCTCTTCCCACTGGGGAGCAAACCCTGCTAGTCTGCCCCCTATGGGAAGGTCTGGGCGGGAGTCATCTGGTACGGCGGAAGGGGCGGTTGTTCCCCCGAAAGGGCCGTCTTCCCTGTGTTTGCCTATGTCTTGTGTTCTGTCTGTCCCCCTGTCTTTCCCTATCCTGTCTAGCTTGGAAGGGTTGGGAATATTGAAAGTAGTTGACCCTGGCTTCCGTACGAAAGGATTGTTTCCTTCCCCAGGAGCCGGGTCTCTTGTCCTGCCTTTTAAGCATGTGTTTAAGGACCTTGCGCTTGTCCTTGTTCTCTGTCAGTTATGGCGTTAGTGCCTCACCAAACAGCTTTGCCCCTTGGTACGGAGCCGAAGCCAATTTCCACTTGGATTTGGTATCCGCCTGCCAGTTCTTTAGCCAGAGGATGCGCCTGCTCGTGTTTTTTGCCGCCATTGCCTTGGCTGAAAACTTGGTCGCTAAAAGTGTTGCGTCCGACGCATATTCCGTGGCCGCTACCATTTTGCTGAGTTCCTGATGAGTGCGTATATCTTCCCTGGGAACCCGGCCCTGTAGCTCACGGAGCCAACAAAGTGTGGCTCTGGTGAAAAAGGACGTGGAGGTAGACGCCCTGGTAGCCCAAGCTATTGCCTGGTGCGTTCTCCTGTAGTTGGACTCACTCTTTCGGTCCTCGGCTTTAAGAGCCTCAGCAAAATCTCCTGATATGGCCGTGTCCGATATCAGGGGACCTATGGGTTCGTCCACCACCGGCACCTCCAATGTTCCCTCTAGCTCCCTTGCTACGTTAAATAGCTTCCTCTCCGCATTGCTAGGAGCGGTAGGGAGGTTGGCGCTGCCCACTGTTTCCTTATTGTGTTTAGGAACATGGTCGGGCATGGTATGCGGTGTTGAGTGGTTACCTTTTCGGCGAACGTCGGCTCAGCCTCCGTGTCAACTGTGACAGGCTCCGCTGGTGTCCCATGCCCCAGATGGGCTGTGGCCTCAGCCTTGCGCAGAATAGTAACAAAAAGAGAAGGGTTAAACAGGCCGCTGAAGGACGGCCCTTGAGGTGAGGTGT